ATCTTGCTTCTTCCCTTTCCGTATCTTGGATTACGTTTTTGTCTCGAGAGATTGATCCACAAAACGTACGAACCCGAAGTACCGTTATTATTGTTCCAGCAGAAAATGTTCCACAAACTCAACACATAAATTTCCCACGAGCCAAGGATTCGTTTCCAAAGTTTGAAAGAGAAAAGTGATTTGACAAGGTCTTTGTCTGGTCTGGTAGCTGTCTTGTTGTCTTTCAATCTTTTTCTGGCCAATCTGATCTCGTCATCGCTCAAGAAGATCGAGTAGCAGTCGGTAGGGGTTCCTGGAAGAACATAAAAGCCGATGAATCCAACAACAATGGAGAGAATACCATCGACAATGAAGATCCATTGCCAAGCTGCCAACCCATTGGCGCCATCCAAATGTCATTCTATGGCACCACTTAAGAGTCCACTAGTCATCAAGCCGAGGAATTGTCCAAAGTAATAAATCATGGATCTACGAGCCATTTCATCAACCTTGTACCAACACCCAAAAAGGTACTGATAAGCCAAATAAGCTGGTGCTTCGAAAGCTCCCACAAAGAACACTATTGCCTTAAGTTGTCCCACATGCTCCACCTTGTAGATGCAAACCGTCAAAATGGACCAACACACATCGAGGGCAGGAAGCACAAAGTTGAGTGGTAAACCATAAAGAGCGTACATGAATGGAATCTGAAAAATAATGTTACCAATCTTGAACATGACTTGAACATTGACCAAATCGTTTCCTTTCATGCCCACACCTTCCTTCATGCCTCCGATATAAGCATTATTAATGTTGGTTTGGTCCAAGTACTTGACCCAGTATGCCATGAGTGAATAGAACGTTAAGAGGATGTCGAGTTTGGTAATCAATTTGCGCTCCGCGGCGGTATCGGTTTCATTAAACCATTTGAACCACTTGTGTTGACTTCTGGTCTTACTATTAAGACGGTATTCGTACTCGTCAAAGAATTTATACCATTTGCGTTGCAGCTCATCGCGATATTCCAATACCGGGCCGTCAGCGGTAGAATCGCTTGAAACGTCGGCTTTCTCATCAGACTTAACCTCCACCACATCCACTTCAATCTCGTCCTCTACCTCACGTCTGGTAGGTATAAACCCCCATTTGAGTCGCTTGAGTGGGTCAGTCAAAAAGCCCATTATGCACCGGGATGCACAATGGCATCGCACTTCTTATAGCTGCTGCACACTGTGGCTCATCGTGCGGCTGACGGTTGGTAATATTCCGAAACCAATTAATGATTCGTATCATCTATAAGAAGCCACATCTGGCGCCTATTTGATGCACGATAACGGATACGGAAATCACCGCTACTGAAAAACGCCGTTAACAAATGCCGTAGTTCCACGTGAAATGCCGATACCACCTCGCCTAATGTGCGCCGTGCGGCTCACTCAACCTTTTGCAGCTCCGATTCCGGCGCATTTAGTTGCATAATTCTATTTACAGGTTTTAGCTCACCATGAAGCTAACATTTCTATAAAAGTCCAACATGGGGTTTTCGCCCGCCTTGGTGGTGGTTGCCTCGACATCAGCCCATTGCTCCAAGAAATCGCGGTGCAGTTCAACTCGCGGCATCTTTCCTGTCACCTGCCTGTAGAGCGAACTGGCGACATTGAAATCGGTTGCAAACATAATGTCAAAGTAGCCTTGGTTGACCATGTATGTTGTGACGTCCACCATTTTGTCCTTGAGCACCGTCTGTACCACTGGCGCATTATAGTAGCCTGGGATGGTTTTGGGAAGGGCATTGAAATCCGAGCATATAAGAGAATGATTCGGAAACCGGTGTTTGAGGATCTGGAAAAACTGTAAAAGTCTCGTAGGGATGAACTCTCCCGGTGTCAAGTTGTCTTTAAATGGAAACAATGAGTTTTTAAGGCCTAGTTTGTGTGACGACTGGAGAAGTGGGTGAATATTATCATGAGATTTGAATGGAACGAGACTCTTTGCTGTTTCCAATTTTCCTTTCCATGTTTTGCTTTTCTTCAATACGGACTCTGAGTCGCTCTCCCGCAATCGAAGGAAGGTATCTGTGTAATAGCTCAATTCGGGAGTGAAAAATTCAAAGAAATCACCTTGCTCATCAACAAGAACATAACCTTCGTGGGGTTCACCAGTCGTGTTATCATAGCGGACCAAGTCATGGGGAAAATTATCAAACACCTCAAGTGCTATGAAAAAACATGGTTCTTGTACCACCTTGTCCCATTCAAAGATCGATTGATTGATCACTTCCACCTTACTATTATCGATTTTTTCTCTTGTTAATTTGGCTCTCAACGCACTCTCCATCTGTTTGGTTGCAAGTTGCGACGAGATTTCAATAATCTTGTAATGGGTTCTTGCGTAGACGTCGGGCTGGTTTTCTTTGATATAATTGAGTACGTTGCACATCAACGTTCCATTACCACCACCCATTTCATAGATCACCAAATCGGCATAGGGGTAAGTGCCGTTAAGCTTGTAGTTTACAAGAAGATACCTAGCCAAAGCTTCTCCGTAATGAGGCAGAAAAAGTTCTGTGGGGGTATGCCATAATTGAAGTGATCTTCGAGACTGTTGCGAGCCACCTGGGCATCCTGTTGGTATACCTGAACGGCTCTTGAAGCAAATTTGGAATTGGCCCGATGGCTTTGGAGGGGGCTGGTTTGGTTTTGGGTGCCTCCCTTTCTGGTCGGAATTCTGCTATAAGCATTCTTCCCAATTTTCCCAAAAAGTCATCAATATCGTGTTATATTGTTGTAGTCCAAATGGTTTTTCCGGGGTGAAAAATCTCCACTCTCTTTTGAAAAGTATCCATAGTTTCTGATTGTACAAGCTGTCCTCGATGAAATCTCCCGTCAACATCTTCACCTTTGAAGGACGAGCCTTTCTTCTGTTCAATTTCGCCGCGTTGATCTTGGGAAAGGTATTGAACACTTGTTCTGGAGACCTTTCAGAAAAGGGATAGTTTGTAGCATGTTTATATATGAAGTCAATGGCGTTGAATCGGCTAGATTCTGACTTTTGGAGGGGATGAGGACCGGTATTGGCCACTTTGAATGCATAAGTGTCGGGACGAATTGAGTATTCGTGGTGAAAAACATCTTTTTCGATCGGTGGAGGCTTGAAAATGCCACATGGGCTTGATGTTGGGTGTATAAACCTTTTTGTACTCTTAGAGTTTCCTAGAAGTGGTTTTATTAGTGTGGATCGCCTGCTGCTAGCGAGCGATGGATGCATTGGAGAAGAATAATTCGCGAAGAATTGGTGAAGAATGAGAATTCTGGGGAAGAATATTGGCGAAGAATTATTAGGGAAATTATTCGCTTGGAAAGTAAGTCCGTCTCAATTTGATCTCTACAATACTACAAATGTTCAGCTTTGTTCGTATTCGTTATATGCATAGGTACTTACCTTGAGTATCTTCTTTCTATTTCATAAGTTTCTGGATTCAGATTCAATCTTACCAGTACTTCACTATCGCTCAAACTCATCCATACACTCGACCACCGTCTTAAGATTGTCTATGACACTGCTAATAGCCACTCGGAGTGCTCTATCATTGACCCCGGTGAATTTGCAAATTAGGCTAGAGTCCTCAGCGATATATTCCACAGCCAATTCGTTAGCTTTGAGAATTGGATCTGGTTCTAGGCTTCTTTTTGCTATGACGGCTTGTTTTTCCGTTTGAAAAGGGATGTTTAGAGTCACCGAACATGGAAGCATGGTGAGATGAAAGATCAGGCTAACTTCTCACTGAACAAGAACCAGGCTGCATGCAGGTGCCTGATGAAATATACACCAGAGAACCAACAAGTCAACAACACTAAGAAGCAGACAGTTATGTTTCAAAGCATATATTTAGCTCGTATTTACCCCAAAAAACCCAGAGATGGTTTCAATGTTATTAGATATCAATTTATACTTATCAATAATATCCATATCTTTTGTATCTGAAATCTCTAACATCATCAAAGTTTGGCATATCGTATAATCACTTTCTATATACTCTTCTTTATATAGAGTTATAGGTAGACTTATACGAAAAATTTCGTGTAGTATGGTGGTGATATTGTATTGTGATAAAATTGTCTCACATGGTAAGTTTTTGCCAACAAGGATAAGCCTAAAATCTTTGCATACAAGAATATGATAACTGCCGAAATTATCAGCAATTTCATGGAGTAACATTAACAAAATGCTGAAAGAGGTATTTTTCATCTTATATCCTTCACGCCTTTCCATCGGCAGACTTCTAATCTATTAAAGATTTGGGTGTTTTATATACAGTCCTTGCATTATTTATAACCAAAAGACTTCCTCTGGTTTACTATCTGTAAACTCTACGTAGGTCCGACCCAATAGCGTTCACGTGAATGTGTGGGTGTGCTGCAGCCAAGACAACAGTAGAGTATTAGCAATGTACTCCAAAAGTCTTTCCTCAATTGTAAAGAAATGGCTGCAAATCAAGTGATATATTGATGGTTGAGCTTCTTTACTGGTGATTGTATTTCAATCTTAATCATTAAATTGGTCATAAATATACTCTAAGTCAAAAAATCACAGAAAATTCCTAAATTTCTCACCAAACGATGTGTTTTACATTTGGCTCCGAGCAGTCGATTTATCTGTCGTTGGTCAAAAAAATCAGTATTCGCAAAACTGATACGATTACTTGAACAGCAAAGCTAACCCATAGTAGGATAATTGAGGTTGTTCCTCGTTTTACTGGTACTTCTTTAAAGCAGAATGCCTTTGACAAATTGGAAGCAAAAGAAGTGGAAACAACAGTATACAACACATTAAAAGCAAGTGCAATGCAAAGTGACACCAAAGATACTGCCAAGGTAAATTTTGTAGGAACAACTTGAAAGCTGAGAAACAAAAAAATGAAAGTTGCAAATAAAGACACTGCTGATAAGGGCTGAAGGGCTTTGAATACTTTGTTCCAATGGAGTACAGTGGATCTTTGAGGAAACTCATCGGGTAAGTAGTTCAACCCAACCATATTGAGATGTGAAGTACTTGTGTATTCGTTCATTTTTTGAGAAATATTCAACCCTGGCTCAAGTGGTAAGTAGGTTGATTCGTAGAAACCATAATTTTCCCTTCCCCAAACCCACACTCCCGCAAAGTAGCTTTGATCAAGAAAAAGATCTTTTCCGCTCACATAGGTAGCATTGTCATCTAGTGGACCAAAGTATCCCATATACGTTTCAAGATATGGGATTCTTGTTGGCAAGAGCAGAGATGGATTTGACACAGAATCTCTTGAAAAAGGGATTGCTTTTGAAGGGCTGGGAGTGGTTCTTGAGCTTAACCTTTCCGTAACTTCTTCACTTGAAAGATCATATTTCTTTATGGCTGCAAATTCGGAGACTGTCGCACTGCTAGTATCCACTTCATTTAGCGGTAGTTTGCTCTTATCTTCTGCTGCGTAGCCATAGCCATATCGACGTACTCCCTTAACATAACTGGCATGTTCAATGTCAAAATGAACAAAGTATAGGTTTTTGAGTGGTTTTGTCACACATCCCAAGACGACAATGAGGTATGATATGAACACAAATATCGACAAGATCCAACCAAGTAATGCCAAACATGGGTTTTTCTTGGACTTTCTGTAGTTTTCTCGCAAATATCCATCGATAAGAGTATACTTTGGTGGTTGTTCGTGGTTTCTAAGAGTTTGAGTGCCGCCCAATGGTGAGGTTCCGTCAACAGGTAATGTTGCAGTATTTGAGTGGATCGCTTTTTCATATGTTGGTAGAAATTCCGTGTCCATACTTGGTTCAGTGGACCATATAGCAGCTACTTCTGTGCTTATAAGCGACTGCCAAGCAATTGGTGCTGTTCGTAAATCTGGTGTAAATCTGGTTAGGTGCGCTGGTCTGCGCGGCGCTATCTCAATTACCGATTTTCGCAGCCGATCTTGAGGGCCGTGTTACAGCAATACTGTGAATAATTCGTAAGCAGTAAATTGTTGAAAGCAACTATGGCATTCGCTAATTCTCGTACTTTTGGTCACTAATTTCATCAATTTTCCACGTGCACTCAAAACGAGGTCATGCAAGGTGGTGAAGATAAGGCCTCGGTCTCACTTGCTTTAAACTGTCAGGAAGATCTTATCGGTGAATGACCCTAATAGGGTTGATTTGATTGGAGCTGCTTATCAATTCACGACTTATTTTGGAATGGACTGATTCTGGTGCAAATTCTATGATTCTGCTACAATTCTCAAATGCTTAATTTTTTAGTTTCTCTATTCGTACATTGTATCGTAGATCATAATCAATAATTTCATCTCAAGAATAAATAGCAGTTCAATGAAGCAGAAGAATCAATTCAATGAAGCTGGTGATGCACTGGAACGCAAATGCAATCCAGAGAATTGGAACAGATTTCAATCCTTTGTCGACAGTGACTTCTTTCTTCGGAAATGCCGTGGTAATATAAGAACCATACCTTCTTGCAACCACGTTGTATAGAATGTTGAATACAAGTGAGTAGACAACAGTCAGAGGTGCAATATAACGGGCCCATTTCCGAGGAAGTATTTGAAATGCCATTCCAACAAAGAACACTAGTGACACCATCAAGATCACAGATAAAGGCTGGAGTGCCATGGCAATTTTATTTGTCTGGTTCATTTTGGATCTTCCCAGAAATTCAATCTCTTTTTCCTTATAGTTGAGCCCAGGCATATACACCCAGACAACGGCGTTATCATTGACCATTTTCGAGTAGTCAATTCCAGAATAAATGGTGTTTCTCTTTGTTTTGTAGCCTGTGGAAAAATAGCCATAAGACCAAATACCAACATAGTACTCGGACGGTATTCCCAATGACCAACCATAACGATAGTGTGCGTTCTTGACTGTACCATAGTAGCCCATAAATACCGTGAAATTTCCCAAATTGGTTGGAAGGTACAGGGCTTCTGGTCTGGTGTAGTATGATGTTGCCAGGGCTCTTGCACTAGTAATGGGAGTTGTTCTAGATCTCCAGGATGCTGTTGCTGATTGAAAAGCGCTTTTTGATGAACCCATCGAACTGGCAGATGTAGGAGTTGTGAACGAGGACTGGGTGGTGGTTGCAACCATATTACCCGATGCGGAAATTTCTGTAGCGGTTGCAAATGCCTCGATTGAAGGCCTCAAGGAGAAGCTTCTTGTGGTTGAGGGAATACTTGTCACCTCCATTCTTCTTGCCGTGACTGTAGCGGCATAAGCATAATCTCTCACCAAGAAACGAGCACCCACGTTGTCAAAGCGGACCAAGTATAAGCCTTTTAACCCATTAACTGAGCAGCCAATAACCACCAAAAGGTACATTATGAACGCCGTGAGCGACATAAGACAGCTGACCCCATTGCGGGAGCTCGAGGGTTTCGGGTTTTCGATAATGGTAGGGTACCGTGGTGGGTCATGGAATAACTGTTCCAATCTTTCAGTTTGGGATGCGAATGTAATTTCGCCATTTGGTGTTTCTTTCTCATATGGAGGTGGAGGTTCTGAAGCCATTGGCCTTCGGGGCCGTTTGGGTGGATATTTAAATGCATGCCAAGACAATGTGTTCGAGTTCGTAAATTAAAGTCATCTCGGTGCATTGATGTGATTCGAGGAACCATCTGACGCATGGTGACGTCGAGGTGATAGCCGAGCCGTCTTCCGTCCAGCCGTGTTGCCTTTTGCCGTCTTATGCCGAGAATTGATCAGCGAGGTCATTAAATTGAGTGTAATGAAGATCGGCTCAATGCCGACGATAGTAAATCCGAAAGCATGACTCCTCAATGCAACCATGTGGTAGACGATAAGGCTTTAACCACGGGGTCATGGATACGAAGTGATCGGCGTCATAAACTAATCACAAGTTCGAATGAGTCACGAATGTGAACTGTTAGTAATAGTTGGTGAGAATTGTTAGTGAGGAAAATCAGTGACAATTACTAGTGAGGGTAATAAGTGACAATTATTAGTGATAATCATCATAAGATTTCCAGTATGCTCGACAAATAGCTCTCGTTCCAAGCTTAGCTATATTGCGAGTCACGCAATACTCAACCCAATTACATTTTATAGCATCTCAGGTTTATAGGCTCCTCACTCTTGTTTCCCATTGCACTTCCTCGTATGATCAACTCAGCCGCACCAGTAAACGAGATTCAGTGTGGGGAACGGCATGACTGTGGTGAGAGTCCGGCATACGGCAAAATCGTTTCATTGGTCCAAATAAGATCTTACCTTCGCGAATAACCAAAGTATGCTGCAGTCGTATGCACGCTCTAAAGGTTGCATTCTGACGCTAAAGAGCTAACATTGATAATTTGGTGTGAAAAACTCCCGGTTCTTCCACTCAAAACCAAAATTCCAGAATCCGTATATGTTACTCAATGTAGCCTGACTTTGCCGTATGTGGCACGGCTGTCGTGGCTCCGTCGTGGCTCAAGTGGCACCCTTGAGGCACAGCTCAGCCTCTATTCATTGACTTGGTTTAGTGTGGGTGTGTGGCTGTAATGCTCCGTATTGGGCTTGACAGCAGCGTCCCTGTGGCTTCAGTGCGGCGTCCGTGCGGCTGTGACATTACGAATGGACCCTTGCTGCAAATCCTGTGAGGGCATATTATCTGATCCCACAAAGGTATAAAATGGTGTGCTCGCTCCACTTGTGACAATGAACAACGAAAAGAATTTGGACGTGATCAACATCGACTCTGGTACCTTTTCTGGAGAAAGATCATATGAAGACGACGAAGGCAGAACTCCGACTTTGGACGAATTAAATAATTTACGCCATGTTGCCGCAAAAATCCCCATTAGTTGTTATCTTGTGGGTGTGGTGGAGTTGGCAGGAACTTTTTCGTCCTTTGGTTTGAGTGCACCTTTCCAAAACTACATGCAAAATGGTCCTAGTGGAACTCCTCCTGGAGCTTTAAACTTAAAAAATCAAGGAGCCACTGCGTTGTCATATTTTTTCCAATTTTGGTGCTATGTCACTCCGATTTTTGGAGCCTGGGTTGCTGATACTTTTTGGGGCAAGTACAAGACCATTGTGGTTTTCTGTCTTATTTATATGGCTGGAATCCTCATTTTGTTCATCACGTCTATTCCCGCTATTACCAGCTACAACACAGCTTTGGGAGGGTATATAGTTGCAATTGTCATCATTGGAATTGGAACTGGTGGAATCTCGTCAAATGTGTCACCTTTGATTGCAGATCAGGTTCCAAAAACCCAGCCAGTTATCAAAGTTTTGAAGTCTGGAGAAAGAGTGGTGCAGGACCCAGCAATCACCATACAAAATGTGTTCATGTTTTTCTATCTCATGATTAATATTGGTTCTTTGTCTATTATTGCAACCACTGAATTAGAGGCCCGTGTGGGGTTCTGGGCAGCTTTCCTTTTACCTTTCTGTTTCTTCTTCATTGCTATCGCAGCATTGATTCTTGGTAGGAATTCTTATACCATAGTTCCAGTTTCTAATAAGGTTATTGCCAAGTCTTTTCAATGTACTTGGATAGCTTTAAGGAGTCGGTTCACATTTGAAGCTGCCAAACCGTCGAAAAATCCTGAAAAAGAGTTTCCGTGGACTGACCATTTTGTTGAAGAAGTGAAAAGAGCCGTGTATGCTTGTAAGGTTTTCTTGTACTACCCCATCTACTGGGTGGTTTATGGACAAATGCTCAACAACTTTGTATCCCAAGCAGGCCAAATGGAGCTCCATGGGTTGCCCAACGATTTTCTTCAGGTTATCGACTCGATTACTATCATTGTCTTTATTCCCATCTGTGAGCATTTTGTATATCCATTCGTTAGAAAGTTCACTCCTTTAAAGTCCATCACAAAAATCACTTTGGGCTTCATGTTTGGTACCGCTGCAATGGTATATGCTGGGGTATTGCAACATTACATCTACAAAGCCGGACCTTGTTACGACGAACCTTTGACTTGCAAGGGATTTGAAGGTGTTCCAAATCGTATCCATATTGCCCTTCAAGTTCCCGCTTATGTCTTGATTGCGTTGTCGGAGATTTTTGCCTCCATTACAGGCTTGGAGTACGCTTATACAAAGGCGCCTGTTAGTATGAAGTCGTTTATCATGTCGTTGTTCTTGCTAACCAACGCTGGAGGTTCAGCCCTTGGAATAGCTTTATCTTCCACATCTGAAAACCCCAAGTTTGTGTGGTCGTACACCGGCTTGGCAGTATCGTGCTTCGTAGCTGGGTGCCTTTTTTGGGTTTGTTACAAGCACTATAATCAGCGGGAAGAAGAATGGAACCAGTTGGAGTATAAGGAAGTGGAACTTGAGCCTGTGGAGTCCCAGCCGATCAAGAGTTTGGCATAACCTCAAACTGTTCTTGTTTTGTTAAGTAGCTGTAGTGTTTTTAGATTTGAGAAAAAAGATATTAAGTGAGTTTTTCGCAACCGTTGCATTTTTCGCACCCTCACATTTTCGCAGCCACAGCAATTCGCAGCCGTCGCACTTATTTTCGCGCCAATCGAATGTTTCCTTATAATCAAAAAATGGTATTAACTAAATAACTCGAAAAAAGGTCCGGTAGTACCTCGTACTAGGCGAAATTATAAAATAATGCTGTCTTAGAACAACATTCCGAAGAATAAAGCGGTAGCCACAAGGAATGACCATGGCTTCGAAATTGGGCCAGCACCCTCAGAAGCAACAACAGCGGGAGTTTCACCAACCACAGAAGAAGAGGTTTCATGAGCCTCTCCAGCAACGGTGGCTGGGTTAGCTGGGCTGGCTGGGTTGGAACCAGAGCCGGAACCAGAGCCGGAACCAGAGCCGGAACCAGAGCCGGAACCAGAGCCGGAACCAGATCCCTGTCCAGCAACATTCTCAGGCTTTCCACTGCCAGCGGTGGATGGCAATGGACAGTAGGTGGTGTAGACATAGTGGGCCTTGGTCACGGTAGTCAAGCCGGTGGTAACTGGAACTGGTGTACACTTGTTGTCCTCGCAACTGGTGATGGTAATAACGGTGGTGCTGATTTCATCAACAGTATCACAAGGAACAGTGGTGGTGTAGGTGACGTCTCCCTTGGTGGTGACAATCACTTTACTGGTTTCCACACCGGTACCGGTGGATGCTGGGCAAACGGTGGTGTACTCGGTGCACACATGACACACGGGACCGACATCGGTGGTGTAGGTAGTCAAGTGGCCAGCAGAGTCAGTGGTGACGATGACTTCGCCGGTTTTAGTGGCAACGGAACCATCTGGATTGGTGGTAGTGAATGTGGTTGGGTACTCAGTACATTCTGGGCACGCAGCACCAATGTCGGTGGTGTAAGTGGTCAAGTGTCCGTTGGAGTCAGTGGTAATGACATACTCGCCAGTTTCGGTAGCAACAGAACCGTCTGGTTTGGTGGTGACGAATGTGGTTGGGAATATAGTACATTCTGGGCACACAGCACCAATGTCAGTGGTGTAGGTGGTCAAATGTCCGTTGGAGTCAGTGGTCACAATGACTTCTCCAGTTTCGGTGGCAACTGAACCGTCTGGTTTGGTGGTAACGAAGGTGGTTGGGAATTCAGTACATTCTGGGCAAACTGGTCCGATATCAGTCGTAAGAGTGGTCAAGTGTCCGTCGGAGTCGGTGGTAACGATAACTTCTCCAGTCTCAGTCGATACCGATCCATCTGGATTCGTGGTCACGAAAGTCGTTGGGAACTCAGTACATTCTGGGCACACTGGTCCAATATCCGTGGTAAGAGTAGTCAAGTGTCCGTCGGAATCGGTGGTCACAATAACCTCGCCAGTCTCAGTCGATACCGATCCATCTGGATTCGTGGTCACGAAAGTCGTTGGGAACTCAGTACACTCTGGGCACACTGGTCCAATATCCGTGGTAAGAGTAGTCAAGTGTCCGTCGGAATCGGTGGTCACAATAACCTCGCCAGTCTCCGTGGAAACGGAACCATCGGGGTTGGTAGTGACGAAGGTGGTTGGGAACTCAGTACATTCTGGGCACACGGGTCCAACATCGGTGGTGTAAGTGGTCAACAGTCCGTCAGAGTCGGTGGTGACAATGACTTCACCGGTCTCGGTTGAAACAGAGCCGTCGGTGTTAGTTGTCACAAAGGTGGTTGGGAACTCAGTACATTCTGGGCACACGGGTCCAACATCGGTGGTGTAAGTGGTCAACAGTCCGTCAGAGTCGGTGGTGACAATGACTTCACCGGTCTCGGTTGAAACAGAGCCGTCGGTGTTAGTTGTCACAAAGGTGGTTGGGAACTCAGTACATTCTGGGCACACGGGTCCAACATCGGTGGTGTAAGTGGTCAACAGTCCGTCAGAGTCGGTGGTGACAATGACTTCACCGGTCTCGGTTGAAACAGAGCCGTCGGTGTTAGTTGTCACAAAGGTGGTTGGGAACTCAGTACATTCTGGGCACACGGGTCCAACATCGGTGGTGTAAGTGGTCAACAGTCCGTCAGAGTCGGTGGTCACGATAACCTCTCCGGTGTCAGTTGAAACTGAACCGTCGGTGTTGGTAGTGACAAAGGTAGTTGGGAACTCTGTACAGCCTGGACATTCGTCAGAGGCAACAGACGAAGCGGCAGAAGAAACAGCGGACGAAGCAGCGGAAGAGGCCTCAGATGATGCAGCGGACGAAGCAGCAGATGATGCAGCAGATGATGCAGCAGATGATGCAGCAGATGATGCAGCAGATGATGCAGCGGATGAAGCGGCAGACGAAGCAGCTGATGAAGCAGCTGATGAAGCAGCTGACGAGGCAGCAGACGAAGCAGCTGACGAGGCAGCTGATGAAGCAGCTGACGAGGCAGCAGACGAGGCAGCAGACGAAGAAACAGCAGACGAGGCAGCAGACGAAGAAGCAGCAGACGATGCAGCAGACGAAGAAGCAGCAGACGAAGCTTCAGACGAGGCAGCAGATGAAGAAACAGCGGACGAAGACGAAACAGCAGAAGACGATGAAACAACCGAGCTGGAAGTGTCATCAAGACCTGGTGGAGGTGGCAATGGGAGACATGAAGAACATGCGGTTGGTTGGGTAGCTGTGTCTGGAATTGGACCGTTGTATCTGACACCTCCGTTGATGACGGTGGTAAGAATACCTCCGAAATCAGTGGTGAATCTCTCGAACAAGGACTCGTCGTATCCTGGACCAATGTTGAACTGGAAGTAGAACACCAAGCTGGAGTACAATCTCAAGATTCCGGTAGTTGGAGAGTATTGAATACTTGAGATTGGTAAACCGAGTCCAATAACATTACCTCCACCGAAGCCAGCAACATTAAAAGTTTGAGAGAGGGAAAGAGCCTCGACTCTAATACTGGACGTTGGAGAACTTAAGTAAAGAGTCTGGTCTTGAGAAATGGACAAAATGGAGTTGGAAATCCACATGTTACTGTTGACACCAACATCAATACATCCGGTACCGCTGATGGCGGTAGATTGGTCATAAATTTCGTTGATCAAACAGATGGTACCATCGTTAGTAATGGATCCACCAGCGGCACCCAAGGTGACGAAACCAGAAGATCTGGTGTTCTGGTAAAACACCATAAGACCATTGTTGGCCCAATTTGCAGCAGTGACAGACATTACTGGTGTTCCAATACTTCCATCTCCTCCCATCCACATATTACCGTTGTTGGTGAAACGTAAACCAACAAGGTTATAAGTGGGAGCGGTTAAAGACTCCACAGAATTGAACGAAATGTCTCCGTTGTTTTCGATGGAATTAAGTATACCCAACAACGTGACGGTCAAAGCAATAAGATTGGAGTTACTACTTATGAAAAGCTGACCGTCAACCTTAAGACTTCCAACAAAGTTGGTAATGGCATTGTTGATAATGGACCAGTAAGCACCAGCTTGAACTTCGGTGTCACCACTGATGGTAACTGCACCACGAGTGATGGTGTCGGAAGTAATCGTCTGACCGTACACCGATGACAACAGCAAAGCTGCTGCTGTGAGAGCTTTAAAACCGAGGTGCATTATCAGTCCAGCGCTACTTCTTTAAAGACTAACATTCTGGAAACTGTTCTTTTATATTATCCTATGGATGCAAAACTCAAGAGGAGAAAGGATTTGTGCTGCAATTGCCAAGAAGTTCAGCAGCATGGGGCCTTGCCTGTTTCGACGGTTTCTTTGCCTCTTCGGGCCATGTTCACGATCGACGCAAAGCTAGTAATCGTGGGGTTGCGCATTTCTCGGGTTTATTCGTGGTGCATATCGAATTATGGTGCCGATTCCGCCCAAAGGGAAAATGCATGGATGGCTAATTTTGCGACGGAAATTTTACAATGTTGCCGTACAAGTTGTGCAACGATGGAGCGAAACTTGAGCGGCAACTTACGAGTTTGGAACAGAGAAGAATTATGATATCGTATACTACAGAGGTGCGTTTTGCAGACTATTGAAGGAAGTGTCGATAAACATGCAACGGAAGTTCCCGTATACCGAATGCGTACACAATGCGCCGCATCCGTCCACGGCATTTACGATTATAGTTGCCTTTGAAGCGACTAGATTGAGTGTTTCGGAAACTAGCCTATATTAGGCAATCAGTGACTCTTTAGGTGTGCATATCTTGCTGCATGTTCACGAGTGTGCGAATGTCATCAGCGTGTTTTAGTGTAATTTGGGCCAATTTTAATCCATGCATTATGCATGCGCATGCATTATCGGATTTAGCCACCATGTCAAGCCTATGTTGGACCGGTTGCATTCAATAATTTGTTTGCCATTTTTCATCATTTTATTACGTTTTGGCCATATTTGTTGCTACTCTTTGATTGTGTTCTCCTAGCTTTATTCTATTGATCTCAACCAGTAGGGGTCAATTACTCTGTGATGAATTATTTTTTGCATCCCCGCATTCTGCAACTTCAGATTGGACGCCGCACGAGCTCTGCGAGCAAACTTACACGACGTAAATCTTGCGATGTATTATTAGGGTTGCTGAGAACAATGGCTTTCTTTTACGAAAGTTAGTTGTTTTCGAGAGACTTGAGAATGAGGTGTGCTCGTATTTTGTTTGGGCTCAAACCTTAAAACAAGATATATTATTTTCGCCTCAACCGCTTGGGATGATTCTACCCTTTGCACATGAAAAATATTGAATCGCAAAGCGGACTCTAATTTGTCGGACCCTCCTGACAGAATCGGGGCTTTGAAGGTCCAAAATGGGCCATCACCCAAGCTTTCCGAACAATAGAAAGCCAGCGAAAAATGTTGGGATGAAAATTACTGCACGTTCTCCTCTATTGCAGAAAGCTTTCTTAGCTATGCAGACGATGCATGTGTGATGCTATTCAAGGGTAGCATTACCGCTGCACGGTAGTATGTGCTCCTAACATGTGCGCGCATCCATTTAGTATGGGCGTGGCCTGTGCACGTAACCCGCGAATGCCCATCGTGCCGCGTAGCCAAATTCTATTGTCTTTCGCGGCACCGTGATCATTTCGTAAGATTTAACGCGCATAATTGCATCTAATGGTCGAATGTTACTAATACGATAACAATAGGTTTGTTGAAACAATACCTACGTATTAGTAAATTCGTAAATTGCGTTATTTCGAAGTCCGAAATCCGGTCGGTAGTTAATCAACTACTGGCGAATTTCCGTAGCCTAATAATATCGTGGGTGGTAGCATTTAGAGAAGCCAATGGTTAGCTCTGGTGATAATTACTAGTAGTATATGTTAGCAGATGGTGCTAACCATCGCCAGTGCAAAGTTGATTAAAAGTCCAATCAGAAGTGCTGGAGAAATGCCCAGAAAAGTGCTCGGAGAAAATACTCAAAGAAGTTAGAAAAAAAGTGTGCTACAATTTCTACCTCAATTGTGATATCACGAAACAGTTTTCTTTGCTAGAGTAGTAGTCGGTCATTGCAGCAGTAGCATCCATTAACGATTCTGGGCAATTCAACTGTTAAAGATTTTGTTGAATATCATAATCTGCAAAATTACAGTATTCAATTCGTGGAAGATTACCAGTACTCTCGCTTAATCCCTTGCTTGTAAAGAAAGAGGTTCATATAAGCATTAAAATCGTTATTAGTAATGAAGTCTTGGTTTCGATTACTGAGATTTAGTCTGAATCTGGTTCACTTTTCAGCGAATTCGTGAACCTACATTTGGCTACGTTTGTGTCAAACTAACTACAAAAAAGCATAGTCTAGCTCAACAAAGTTAGACTTTGTTAAATCTATCACTTCTCTCTTTTTACTCGATGCAGTTTTTATCACGGACAGCTTCTCACTCAAAAGTTGACTCTACTTTACAAAGTTGCACTGGACTGTTCTTAGCCACCTCGCTGAATATTCTCTGAATTTGGCTGAGGAGATTCAATTCTGCCAGAGAGTGGGTGTGTTAAGCATGGGGTTCACCTCATGCTGTTTTTGTCTAAATATGAAATTCCCGTAAATCTGCTCAAGTTACCGAGTATCTCGTATTTTCGGTGTCTTTGAATTTTCGACGTCGCGCGCTCGCAATCGGCGCATAGTGGATCTCGGCTGCAAAAAGAGCGACCAGATCTGAACGCCTAAAATGGAAATCGGACCCAATTGAAATGTTTACCTGTTTGTGACTTGGTTGCATTTGAGCTGGGCTTCTGTCGTGATTGGGTTTCATCGTTTTTCAAAGTCAAAGTTGCAATGAGTAGATTGGCTGTGTAGAAAGCTCTTTGCCTTTATTTCTTGATGCTTGAAAAGATTATGTTTACTTTCTTGGTTTGAATTTTACTTTATTCGTTTTTTTTGATGACTTATGGTAGTTAGCTTGTTCTTTCAAAACTAACTAGCTCATTACTGGAAATGATACTACGGTAATAATACCTTTCAAGTAATTGAATTAGAAGCATTTCCCAGTTATTCAAAGCTTCATTCGAAGAAGTCCAAAATACTCGCTGATAGCCCTAGTGTGAGATGAAGATCTAGTTTCCAATGAATTTCAATTGCAGTCGAATCAATGTCAAGTTTATTCAAGTTACATGAGCAGAAAGAGATTGGCTAAAAACTTATAAGAACGACTACTCATTCTGTATCCACTATCATCACCTTGATACTACCCGATGTAGGATCTTGTGAGCATTCAAGAGCGGCCTTGGCTTGTTCCAATGGAAACCGATGAGTAACCAAGGGCTCTACCTTGATAATACCTTCACTTATCAACTTGATAACAGGAGCCCAACTATGGTGGTAACGATTGATAAATTTGACATCCACTTCAGCAAGCGACAAAGTCATGAAAGGAATCTTTATTTCGTCCTTTCCTACTCCCACAACCATAAGTGTACCAGATCTTCTGGTAGCATAGGCACAACAATTGATACTTGATTCCACTCCAGTACATTCGAGAGAAACATGTGGAGCATGATATTCTGTAGGACCAAATTGCTTTTTAATTTCCAATCCAGTTTCTTGTGGGGTCAACTTGGGGTTGATACGGTACGTCTTTAACTCTGGAACCAATTTCTTGGCAAAGTCGAGTCTGTCTTGAGAAATATCAGTAATGCATAATGGAGTACAACCAGATGCCTTTGCCAATAATAACGTGAAAAGTCCAATTGGGCCAGCTCCAGCAACAAGCACTCCTCCACCAAGCCGAAGCTGAGCTCTTTCAATGGCATGGTAAGCAACAGAAGCAGGTTCCACCAATGCACCTTTCTCATAAGACATATTATCAGGAAGCTTGTGCACATACCGAGCATCATGAACCAAAAATCTCTGCATTGAGCCATGATAAGGATACACGCCAATGAACTGGACCTGCTCACACAAATTATAGTCTCCCTGGGAGCAAAGAAAGCAATTTCCGCATGGAACTCCAGGCTCAATGGCTACTCTATCACCGGCTGCAACATTGGTGACATTTTCTCCCACTTCAATCACCTCTCCTGCCGCTTCGTGGCCCAAGGTACAATTTCCCAAGACCTTAAGCTCACCAATTGCACCCGTTTTCCAAAAATGGATATCAGATCCACATATTCCTGTGGCGCGTACATGTAAAAGTACCTGTCCGGGTTGAGGACGATTTACTGCGGTCTCATTCAATTCGAGAGTGTGGTTTTTGGTCACCTGTAACGATGGGTTTGTAAAAGTCATTGAATGGGAGACGAGCAGAGTCGCCATACATAAATCCAGAAGTGAAAAGTTGCCGCAGACTCCCCACACCTGGGTCTGCGGCTAATTTGGCGCTCGGTATTACACTTTGGTGACGCACGTCAGATTGCAACATCCCCAATCGGGAAGTGGTAGCCGCGACCCGCTATGGGTTTGCCGCGACCCCCACACTTGGAACTGCATCGGTGCAAAAACATAAAAAAGTGGTGGAAAGTCCGGAAAACCCATTCAGAATGACCACCGACGACTACGACAAGATTTTGGTTACGTTTCGTATCCTAATTGCTGATTTGGTGCAACAGTACAATGGAGGACATCCTGGTGGAGCCATGGGAATGGCTGCAATTGGTGTAGCTTTATGGAAGCATGTTCTACGGATATCTCCTAGTAATCCCAATTTCTTCAATAGGGATAGGTTTGTGCTTTCCAATGGTCACACATGCTTGTTCCAGTATGCTTTTCATCATCTTGTTGGCTACAAGCATATGACATTGGACCAATTAAAGTCGTATCATTCTGCTGAATTGGATTCTTATTGCCCTGGACATCCAGAAAATGAACATCCAGGTATTGAGGTGACCACTGGTGCTTTGGGCCAAGGAGTAGCAAACTCGGTGGGGTTAGCAATTGCTGCGAAAAATTTACAAGCGACATACAATCGTCCTGAATATCCAATTGTTTCCAACCACACGTTTTGTATTGTTGGCGATGCTTGTTTGCAAGAGGGTATTTCCTTAGAAGCTATCTCGTTGGCAGGTCATCTTTGTCTCGACAATTTGACGATAATTTATGACAATAATCAGATTACCTGCGATGGTTCTGTTGATCTCACCAACACCGAAAATATCAATGAAAAGTTTCGGGCTTGCAATTGGAACGTGATTGAGATCATGGATGGATCTGAAGACGTTTCAGCAATTGTAACAGCTCTTGAAGCTTCCAGAAAGTCTGATAAACCCACTCTTGTCAATGTCCAAACCAAGATTGGATATGGGTCAAATATAGAAGGTACGGCTGCTGCTCATGGTGCTGCATTTGGTCAGGATGAAGTTGACAGACTCCACTCTGTTAATGGGTTCCCAGTCGATAAAAAAATCGTGGTTCCGCAATACATGTATGATTTTTTCAAGAAGGAAGAAAATGAAGAGAAGCAATGGAATGAACTTTTGACTAAGTATCAAGCGGCACATCCCGAATTGGCCAAAGAATTCTTGAACAGAGTAAATGGAAAGCTACCAAGCAATTGGGAATCTTTGGTTCCAACTCAATTCCCTTCAACTCCTACTGCTTCACGTAAATCTAGTGGTTTGTGCGTTCAAAATCTCGCCGAGAACATCAAGAGTCTTTTTTTTGGTACAGCGGATCTTTCTCCCTCGGTCAACTTATCGTGGAAATCGAAGGTTGACTTTCAAAATCCTGCCATTGACACAGCTTGTGGTACTAATGGGGATTACCTGGGAAGATACTTACACTATGGTATCAGAGAACACTCAATGGCAGGTATAGCCAATGGGATAGCCGCCTACAACCCAGGAACTTTTATTCCCGTTACTTCGTCGTTTTTCATGTTCTATCTCTATGCTGCCCCCGCAGTCAGATATGGAGCCTTGTCCAAGCTAAAAGTTATTCATGTTGCAACTCATGATTCAGTAGGACTCGGAGAAGATGGACCTACGCACCAGCCAATTGCGTTGGCTACTTTCTACAGAGCCTTACCACAAATCAACTATATTCGGCCAGCCGACTCTGAGGAGACTGCTGGTGCTTGGATAGCGGCTTTGAAGGCTGATACTCCCACAATCATCTCATTGTCTAGACACAACCTTGAACAGCAAATTACCACCAATCGACAAATGGTTGCAAAAGGTGCCTATCTTTTACAAGAAGATGAAGATGCACAGATCACAATTATTGGTGTGGGAGCAGAACTCACGTTTGCAGTTGGAGCTTCAAAGGTTTTGCGTGACAAAGGTATCAAGTCGAGAGTAGTTTCGTTTCCTTCTCAAAGGTTATTTGAACAGCAGTCGTTGAACTACAAACGTTCGGTATTGAAAAGAGGTAAAGTTCCTTGTGTTGTAATCGAAGCCTATGCCCCAAACGGATGGGAGCGCTATGCTACAGCCGGTTTCAACATGACTACTTTTGGAAAGTCGTTACCTGGTTCTATAGTCTACGATTACTTTGGGTTCAACAGCGCAAAAATTGCCGACAGAATTGAGCGCTACATCAAGGAGTACGAAGACCCAGACATCAAATTCGAGTTTCAGGACTTGCTAGCTGTTTAGTGTACCAATTTGAATACAATTTGAATGAAATTTTAACACCCGAAATAATCCCCGTACTGCGGCAAAAATTTCCTCTTTGGGTATAGAATCTGGGGTAACATGCATTGTCCAATGTGAAATTTTTCGGGGAAAAGTGGAAATTTTCAAATTCCGAAACCCGTGGCTGAAACCAAGGCTGTGACCAGGGCGTGTGACCCCACTTATCGGGAGTCTATAGTTGTTGTTCTTTATTTCAACTTTATTAGACAATTGATTGTGTGCAGTATTTTACTTGAGCTACCTAACCTTGAATCTAGCTTTACTACTAATACCCAGCTAAACATTTAGTCCATCTAATACTTGATTTACAAGTCCCTCCACTAGTCTAATGTCCAATGGTGAAAGAAGCCAAATCTACGCGAAATCGGGTTAAAACGGGGTGTCTTAAATGTAGAGAGATTCATAAGAAATGTGATGAACTCAAGCCAAAATGTCTGAGATGTGTTAAACGAAATAACAACTGCATTTGGCCCTCTTTGAGTGGCAGGTTTGTGAACAAGGTGGTATCGAACGGAACAAATAACTCAACAAAAGAAGAGTCTCTTAAAGTTTATTCAAAACGTCTTCAAGAAACACTCAACAATAATGAGACCCAACGGACCCCTCCTATGATGTCGACTACTACTCCCAAGCTTCACAACATTATGAATACGGGAGAACAAGATGGTATGAGATACGAACTTCTTTCTCCATCTCGTTCGATGTCTCACAGCAACTCTATCATGAAAAATGAACCCCAGTCCTTGGTGCCGTTTGTCGATCAATTTTCAGCTGATGAACCACCGAATGAATTGCTGGACATATCTACCGATCTCAGTCCGTTTCTACATTATAGAAGCTTACACAGAACATTTAGAGATTATATCTTTACAAATGTTGCATCGTCATCGATGAATTCTCCTGCCGACGTTCTGGCGGTGGACTTCACTAATATCTTACAATCTCCCATGCCTGAGTTGTTGAAAGACTCTAGCACTCAATTGACGGGAGAACAACCAACGAACACAACCTTTAAGGAACAAATTACAGAAAGTGAAAAGTTGGATTTATACAAAACTTACCTTTACGAGATTGCACCATGGCTTGATATGTTCGATGGCTCTAGGCAGTTTGGGACCGTCATTCCTCTGCTTGCGACTAGAAGCGACGCATTGTTTTACACCATTTTAACCATTGCTTCGAGACAAAAGGAACAACGAGACAACAAGTATTCTCCCAGTATAACCTTGTCGTTGTATCGTGATTCGCTCAGATACCTAATTCCCACCGTTAAAGATTGCTTGGATACCTCGATTATCTGCGCTTGTGTTATTCTCTGTGTCTTGGAGCTCATGTCTTCATCTCCTAAAACCTGGAGGTACCATCTTGAAGGATGTGCTTCTCTTTTCAAGACACACAATATCCATGGTTTTTGCGAACCTCTTCAGAGAGGACTTTTCTGGTGCTATGCTCGAATGGATGTCATTTCCGCAGTTATAGGGGAGCAACCCACTTTGATACCTTCGGAAAAATGGTTACCCAATGATTGCAGTGTATCCGACCTGAAATCGCTATTCACCTCTTTTGGAAACCAGGAGGATATGTATGCAAATTACATGGTTTTTTTATGTGCTCGAGTTCTCAACTTGATAGCAAATGATAGAGAAGACTATGCAATTGAATGGAAACAAGTATGGGACGAAGTTAGTGAATGGCACAAGAATCGGCCTTTTCAACTAATGCCTATAATGGAAACCGAACAAACTCCTTTTCCCGGTATACTCTATATGAATGGACCGGCAATTTCTTCGAATCAACTTTACCATATGACTGTGATTCTTTTGACCCAAAACAAGCCCCGGGCTCACAAAATCGTATTTCTGGAGCATGTACGGTCTCCAGTTTGGCATGCTAAAAGAATATGTGCTATTAGTCTTCACAACGAGCACCATGGTTCCTGGAACAATGCGTTGCAGCCTCTTTGGATTGCGGGTCAATTGCTTAGTAGTAAAGAGGAACATGAAATTGTGCTAAACTTGTTACATAAAATCGAGTCCACCACTGGCTGGCAGCTGGGGTTTCGAGCGAGAGATTTGGAGGCTTATTGGAACGGAGATAATTCTCCATCTACATGAAAGAAATCCATCATCATAAATTTCTGTCTAACTAGATCCTACTGATTCAACATGTTGCAAACTAATGCTTTTCGCATTGGAAGTCCCGGAGTCCCATTCTTCTAGCGGAGTATTGCGGTATTGTTTGGTGTCAACGAATCCCATAAGCATCGTGCTGTTTTCGGAAAAGAGTTTGTCGATTGACTCCAAGGTGAGCCCTTTGGTTTCGGGGTAGAAAAAGTAGAACATCAATGCAAATGCAAAGTTCGTTACCGTGAATATGAGATACGATCTCCACTTGATGTTGGTGATGATAGTTGGGGTTATTTCCACCACAAAAAAATTCCACAACCAGTTGGCAGAAATACCAATAGCAGTTCCCTTGGCTCTTGCATGCAAAGGAAGTATCTCTGGCACAATTACCCAAGGAATACAGTTACCGGAAGCACCAAATATAAGCTGGAAAAGGAAGAAGAAGGCAACCGCAGCCGATCCCGTGGACTCTTTCAACCGACTATTGTCTTGGAAACTCAAAAGAATAGTTATGAAAAGCATGGATACTCCGCATCCAATATATCCATACACTAATGGTAATCTTCTTCCAAGCGAATCACTGAAGAATGAGGGCACCAAGGATCCAACTGTAAAGCAAATGACTGTACATCCTGCAAGAATCATAGCCAAGTTACGTTCTATGCCAACGTTATTGATCAAAACCGTGGTTATGTAGTAGTTTATCAAGTTAACTCCTCCAACCTGTTGAGCAAACATTGACATGTATGCCAAAAGCACTCTATGGCGGGTTTTGGCTGTGTCTTTAACGAGAAGTTTTTTCCAAGAATACGCACCTTCAGTACTCTCAAGTATCATGGCTTCCTCGATTTCTTGGTACAAACTAGTAATCTCCGGATCGGTTTCTGGCTTCCCAAATACATAGCAGAGAACCTTTTTGGCCTCGTCTTTCCGACCCTTGAAGTACAAGTACCGAGGCGATTCTGGAATGGTGCAAGTAAGACCAAGAACCACCGCTGCAAAAATTATTTGTGTAGCAATTGGAAGCCGCCATACAATGGCTCCTGAGGTGAACGACATCCCATAAGTGAACCAATAAGCATAAACTAAACCAACTCCAACAAACAATGCTTCGGAGCACACAAGTCGACCACGAAGTTCCGGACGAGAAAGCTCAGCTTGATACATGGGAACCGAGCTAGTTTCCATTCCGGTACCAAGACCACAAATAAACCTTCCTATCATCAAGTGTGCTACCGTGAAAGCACTAGTTTGAAGAGCAACTCCAACAATCACTAATACCATAGCTGCTGCAATAGTCTTCCGGCGCCCTAAATAGTCACCAACAAAGTATGTGAGAATGCAACCAAAAAAGCATCCGAGCGTATAGATTGAAACTATAATTCCCAAGTAGCTGCCCGTAGGGTGTCCAAACTGATTCAAGAAGTTTTCACCATCAATCAAGTTTCCCACAATACCTTGTTCGACTCCGAAGAGAATGAATGCGAGCTCACAAGTAAATGTTACTGCGTAGCTCACCTGTTTTCCTGGTTTCCAAAATTGAGTTGACATGATAGTGAAGAATGAATACTCAAAGCAGACATGCAAAGAATATATATAGCTGGGAGACTCACAATGACAAGTCTCGTGAGTCGTTCTTGGAAATGCGGCTGCGAAATTGTGGGGGGCATGTGGGGTAACGGCTGCGCGTAGTTAACGACGCGCGTAGTTCATACCCCATATGGCAGCCTAAGCGACATGCGGTATTTATTCGTAGAGGACGGAGAACAAAGCCGGCACCAGGCGCAAGTGACAAGGGATAAAGATCAGCAACGCTTGTGATCCATGGATCTCCTCATTTCAGGAATAAACCGCACTGAGGGGAACAAATGAGAAAATTGCTTGGTTTCATTTGTGATATTCAGGATTCCAATGGTATCTAGACCATTCTCTAAAGGTCGAATATGATGGTAAGAGTGTGCCAAGAGAATTATATGTTGTCACCTCATTAAATTCTTTAAGATAGTAAATAGTTGTACAAGATTGATCTGATTACTTCGTAAATCTATTTTTCACCCAAGAGAGCCAAATGTGTAAGATCTAAAAAGAAGGTACTTGTCTTTGTCTGCAAAATTGCATCAATTATTTCTATGTCTAATCCTGTACATTATCCATGGTCTTCTTTAGTTTGAGAACTTGATCTTTCGCGTTTCGCTACAACACGAAAGTCTCACTCACGTTTACAGCATGAAAAAGGATATCATATATTAAAAGTGCTCGCGTACGAGTAGAATATAAACAAGACTCAAATGTTCAAATTGAACTTTTGGCGTGATTTAGAAAACCAGAATTTAACAAATAGAGCTGTAAGGAACCTGCCAGCGCCCGCAATAATAATATGGTTCGTGTCACATTAGGTCAAGTTTAGAACAACATTCCCAAGAATAAAGCACCAGCAACCGCAAAGGAGAAAGGAGAATTCATTTCACCGGCTCCTTGAGCGACTGAGATGGTTCTCGAGAGTGATGCGAGGGTGGTTTTTGACGAAGATAACGTGACGGGAGGAGCACCAGAAACTGCTGGGGCAGCAGATTTAGGAGGATTTGTCACCACAGCAACACTGGATAATGGCACAAATGTGGTATAAAGGCGGTGTTGGACTTGGAAAATGTAGCGACTCCAGTGGTAACAACTCCAGTAGAACACTTGTCTTTGTGGCAACTGGTGATAGTGACGACTGTGGTGCTGACAGCTTGAACTGTGTCACATGGAACCGTGGTGGTGTAGGTAACAGCTCCGCTTGTGGTTACAATCACTTTGCTGGTTATCTTTCCAGTACCACTGCTAGCTGGGCACACAGTGGTGTACTCTGTACAAACATGACAAAGTTGGCCAATATCAGTGGTGTATGTGGTTAAGTGGCCCTTTGAGTCGGTGGTAACGATAACATTTCCAGTCTTGGTCTTGACAGAACCATCGGTCTTGGTGGTGAAAGTCGTTGGGAATTTCGTACACTTTGGACAAAGAGGTCCAATGTCGGTGGTGTAGGTTGTCAAGTGTCCTCCTTTGTCGGTTGTGATCACATAGTTTCCAGTGTCAGTTTCAACAGAACCATCAGTCTTCGTTGAGATAAATGTTGTTGGGAACTTTGTGCAACCTGGACAGAGAGGTCCAATGTCAGTCGTATAAGTTGTCAAATGACCAGTCTTGTCCGTCGTGATAACATAGTTTCCAGTGTCAGTTTCAATTGAGCCGTCGGTTTTGGTACTCACGAAAGTTGTTGGGAACTTTGTGCATCCTGGACAGAGAGGTCCAATATCAGTGGTATAAGTTGTCAAATGTCCACCATTGTCGGTCGTAATAACATAATTTCCGGTGTCAGTTTCAATTGAGTCCGTCAGTCTTTGTTGAGACAAAAGTGGTTGGGAACTTTGTGCATCCTGGGCAGAGAGGTCCCGATATCAGTGGTGTATGTGGTTAGGTGACCAGTCGTGTCCGTTGTGATAACATAGTTTCCAGTGTCAGTTTCAATTGAGCCGTCGGTTTTGGTGCTAACGAAAGTTGTTGGGAACTTGGTACATCCTGGACAAAGAGGTCCAATATCAGTGGTGTATGTGGTTAAGTGACCAGTCGTGTCAGTTGTGATAACATAGTTTCCGGTGTCAGTTTCAATCGAGCCATCGGTTTTGGTGCTAACGAAAGTTGTTGGGAACTTTGTGCATCCTGGACAAAGAGGTCCAATATCAGTGGTGTAAGTTGTCAAATGTCCAGTCGTGTCCGTTGTGATGACATAGTTTCCAGTGTCAGTTTCGATAGAGCCATCAGTCTTTGTTGAGACAAAAGTGGTTGGGAACTTTGTGCATCCTGGACAAAGAGAAGAAGGTCCAGTTGGGCCCGCATTTCCAGAAGATGAAGAAGGTCCAGTTGGTCCAGTTGGGCCCCCATTTCCAGAAGATAAAGAAGGTCCAGTTGGTCCAGTTGGGCCTCCATTTCCAGAAGATGAAGAAGGTCCAGTTGGTCCAGTTGGGCCTCCATTTCCAGAAGATGAAGAAGGTCCAGTTGGTCCAGTTGGGCCTCCATTTCCAGAAGATGAAGAAGGTCCAGTAGGGCCTCCATTGCCCGAAGATGAAGAAGGTCCCGTTGGTCCACCACTGCCAGAAGATGAGGAAGGTCCAGCGGAGGAAGGTCCAGAAGATGAAGAAGGTCCTCTTGACGACGAAGGTCCACTTGACGAAGATGGTCCACCAGAAGAAGATGGTCCGTTAGACGAAGATGGTCCAGAAGATGAGGATGGTCCGCTTGAAGAAGATGATCCAGAAGATGAAGATGGAGCACTTGAAGATGAAGCTGGGGCGCTAGACGAAGCACTTGATGAAGCTGGAGCACTAGACGAAGCACTTGAAGAAGCCGGAGCGCTAGACGAAGAAGGAGCACTTGACGAAGCTGGAGCGCTAGATGAGGATGGTGCACTAGAAGAAGATGGTGCACTAGATGAGGATGGTGCACTAGATGAGGATGGTGCACTAGACGAAGCTGGAGCACTAGAAGAAGATGGAGCGCTCGACGACGCTGGTGCACTTGACGAAGATGGTGCACTAGATGAAGGTGGTGCACTTGAAGAAGCACTTGACGAAGGTGGTGCACTAGATGAACTCAGACTCGACGATGACGAATGGTTGTGGAGGTGTTGGCAATGGAAGACAAGCCTTACAAGCAGTAGGCTGCGTGGCTCCTGATGGTACAGGTCCGTTATACCTGATACCTCCGTTGATCACAGTCGTAAGTATTCCTCCGAAGTCGGTAGTGAACCTCTCGAACTTAGTAGGGTCATAACCTGTTCCGATATTAAAGTTGAACGAGAAGAGGAGCGAGGTATTTATCTTCAAAATACCTGTTACTGGACTGTACAGGAAGCTGAAAATTGGAAGACTGATCCCCAAAACGTTTCCATTTCCGAACCCAGCAACCTTGAAGGTTTGACTCAATGAAAGCGCTTCAACTCTCATACTAGACGATGGACTGCTCAAGTAGAACGTTTGGTTAGGGTCAACACTCAAGAGAGAGTTTTGAATCCACACATTACTTTTGGCACCAATGTCAAAACAACCACTTCCTTTAATAGCAGTGGTTTGTGAATAAACTTCGTTTATCAAACAGATGGTACCATCGTTTTGGATACTAGTGCCGACTGCACCCAAGGTAACGAAACCACTTGATAAGACTTTTTGTTGGAAAACGATAAGTCCCTTATTATTCCAGCTAAGAGAAGTGATTGACATTTGCGGTGTACCAACACTACCATCACCAGCGAGCCACATATTTCCGTTGTTGGTGAACAGGGCGCCAATAAGGTTATAGTTGGGAGCTAAAATCGACTTTGAGGAGTCAAGAGAAATATCTCCATTATTGGTGATTGAATTGAGAACACCGAGCAATTCAACAGTCAAACCTATCAAATTGGTATTACTGCTAATGAAGAGCTTTCCATCCACTTGAAGACTTCCCAAAAAACTAGAAACGGCATTGTTGACGATGGACCAATATGCACCAGCGTCGACCTTTGTAAGACCAACGAAAGCATTAAGTGGACCCAGAGTCACTGTATCTTGAGATATCGTGATACCCAATGCTCCGGTAACCAGCAAAGCTGCTGCGATAAGCGAGTAAATCCGCATCTTTTGGATGAATATCCGGTGGGGAATACTCTTATATAAGAGAGAAACGTTGATGCAACGATCACCCAATTGGTTCGTCAAAAGCGTGTTGCGACTGGTTGCGGTTTCGGCGGTTAAACGCATCATCGAAATAAGTCGTATGCATCGCAGGTTATGCTAGAAACTTACTGCTAGCTGACGCATCCCAAATGCAAATCCTGGGTTTAAAACCTTCAGGTTTCTAGCAGTTGGCGTCTTTTTACAACACCGAGAAACCTTGTGAACTTGAAGGGACGAAGGTTGTGTATTTGGTAGTCTTACAAAGTTTTGGAACAACTAAAATGGTCGAGATAACTTTCCACAAAATATGCATGGCGCTTGGACTCGTTTTCATGCATGATGTAACCGCATGTCTTCTTTAGTCCTTCGCGACGAGCGGATGTACTTGCGACGCTGGGCAGATATTTAATTGATGCCAGTAATTTTTAGCGAGCTTCAATTAGCTTTATTTCGACCCATCTTTCTGAACCACAATCACCAATGTGTGAGCTCACATGGATTGGATTTGCTAGTTATTACGAGTCAATTGGTCCATGAATTACTTCCTTATTGTTTAGCAATTTACGAGACCTCGATTTCTACAATAATCGACGACTTGGCTGAAAACGAAGCTAAGGCTGGCAAAAAATTTCGTATAGGGAAAAATATTATAACAGTACAATAGTGCTGTAAAACGCCTGATGCACCCCGGATTAAGTCGGTAAAAATATCATCCATGTGAAAGAACTGATCTTAAAGACTCGAAGAGCCGCACGTTGTGCGTATTTGATGCATGCTGGGTTATTTTCTCATTCATTTTGCACCCATTTTTGGGTCTTGGATGCCGTCCGCTTAAAGAAGAATAAGTTGTCCAAAAATATTTATTACTACTTCAAGGCATAAAGTTGCAACTCAACTGCCGGCTGCGAACCAATCGTTATCTACTGCTTCCTGGTTTGTCTATGTTGACTCTGGCTGTATCAAATGCAGCATTTAGCTCAAAAAGACTTTTGCTCGTAAAAGTCGATGGGCCCATAAGAATTGCTTAAGTGCCAAGTCTTTCTGTGATCGCCGCCAATCTCAAAGTATCGTACCTGTTTCTTTTCGCATCAGAGAATTACCTAACCACTTTCGTGTTTTTTTGTGTCCCTTTTTGGAAACATCATTGCTGTTTAAAGTTGTACTCGACTGAAGTGGACTATGCAATGGCGCCTAATATCTCCCACCACATATTCACTAGCCGACTCGTCTAGCCGTCGCGACTCAACTTAGTCAGACAGAGTTTGTCCAAATCTCGTCGATTCAAGCTTTGCTACAACTCTGAGGTTCCTGGGTGCAACTCACTGCGCTCTTGTTCTTGTCACTTGTTCTTTACTTTATTGTTCTATTGTTCTTGCCGTATCTCATAATGGGTATATAAAGGTCTTGTCCTCCAAATCTGTCAAGTCCAATGCTGCAACATCGACTTCTATTTTGGCCCCAGACTCGTCTTCGACGTATCCAGTACGATCGCCTTCGTGCAATGCAGCAAGTCTCGCTTTATTTCTCCGGCTCAAAATGATCCACACTATTCCAATCAAGCCAGGAGCGATGGTAAAACTAAGAACAATCTGAACAATCCAGGCAGGAACGTATCTCGGAGCATCACGGCTTTGCCAGAGTTGTGGGGATATGATGTTGGCCACAGAATAAGCGCCCATAACCATGGAATTTCTGGTAAGTCTCTTAGAGTAAGAGGCTCCAGCCGTTGACGCTGCCAAGCCAAAGGCACAAATCCAAGGTACTCCAAAAGACAGTGAAGCCATACAAGTCACGGCCAACATTCCAATTGAGTTCTTTAAGTTAAGGCTGACGGCAGCAATCGATCCAACCCAAGCAGGCAACGTGGACCATATGACACAGAAACAGGTGGTATTGGGGAAGAAATACATCACTCCACTGGCAAATAATGCCCATAAGACCGCATATCCGGCACCAGCTACAGTCACAAGAGTCAGTCCTAGATTTGAAACCCCGCCCATTTCTTCATAAAGAAGCGTTTGCTGATAAGTCAAATTGTTCGCCAACTGCTGAAGCAAGAAGAACCCGGTTATCAACCAAGAAATTGGATCTTTGAAAGCTTCGATAGCATGTGCTCTTTTAAAAAGGTGTTTTTGCTCTATAGTGTTGAGCTGAGTCCGTTGTACTCTTCTGATAACCCACACTTTCTCTTCAACCGAAAGAAACTTTGCTTTGGCTGGGTTATCGGGGTAGAAAAACCACACTATAACAGCGAGCAAGATGGTGACTCCACCAATCACTATATTGAGGACCTTGTACCCTGGGAAGCTCGAATGAAGGTAGGCAATTCCATAGGCAATGAAACCAATTGGAATTGGTGATGCCATACATGAAGCATAGAAAATTGGCTGGATAGTAGCACGCTCATCCTTAGTCATGAACATACCATTGGTTGTGGTCAACAAGGGAATTGCCAGAGCTTCAACAAAACCAAGAAAGAATCGAAGCATCAATATTCCAGGATAGTTATAAGCTGCACAAATCAAAAAGATGAGCACTGACCAAAGTACGACGATAACAAAGAGCACTTTTGATAGCGGGAACTTTTGAAGAATATACGGCGATGGAAGCTGGCCTAAAAGAAAACCCACATAGAACAAAGTGTTGATGTTGTTATACTTGTTTTGATCAATTCCAGTGTTCTCCCAAAGGCCCAAAATGGACGAGTACGATAAGGTTGCCTTGTCCATGTACATTATCATATTTACAAGGAATGTCATTCCAAGCACCCGAAAGAGTACTTTCCGAAATAATTTCTTATCTTGAGCAGGGGTGATTTCTGGAATTTGAGAATCGTATTCTCTCATAAAGTGCAAGGTTTCGTCGGCATTGGAAATGGCGACCACCTTTGCATCTGTACCCAGGTGGACAGAAACTATTTCCTCTTTCTTTTCCATATTTGGTGATTTTCAGAATTTCATGAAAAATTCATAATTAAATAGTCTTCAGAGCCACAGTTGAGAATTCGCAGATCTGATGATGACAGTGCAGGAAATGAAAAGCCCAAATGCAGCCGCATGATAACGTGCAGTGACTCAATTGCGGCAGCGAAAGCGACGATGGTCTAAATGAAAGCGGTGAGGGCCTAAATGATTTACTGAGTGGTGCAAATTATAGATGTACTTCATTCCTGATGGCTACTAAATTTTGGATTGCCGATATTTCGAAAAGTATTTCAAATTTCTGAAGAAACAAAAGGTTCTAGTCTTTACATTTTGACATGAACCTAAACGCCGACAACGATATGCACGTTCGGAAGGCGTATACTTCCAAGCATTGACAAATTTTTCACATGTGGCTCAACAGGCGTTTACGAAGATCATTACAATGAGCAAATTGAGAATCACTATGGCTCGAAAAAGAGTGAAGAATGCAATGAAAAATTCAGTACTCGCGAATTAATTGTTTGTGCGGTCGGGCGCAGTTTGACCGTTGACGTGCTGTCGGATAATTCGTAAACGGAACAATATGACGCACGATAAGCGAAATCGGCGATTAGAAATTGCAAACTGTGGCGCTATCGGCCCACTCTAACTAAAAGTATATAATTTTCCTCGTAATTTCTTATCAACTTATGAGCATTAAATCAATTGCCATAGTTGGAGGAGGGCCATGTGGAGCCGCTGCTGCCAAGGCATTTGTTGCTGAACGGTGTTTCAACAAGGTTAAAGTTTTTGAAAAAAGAAGCCAATTTGGTGGTCTTTGGAACTATGAATCGGAAACTGAAAATTTCCCGGTTCCCAATGAGGTTCCATATAAAATAACTCCGATCATTAAGGATGATAAGATAGTATGGCCCAGTGCTGCCTATGATCTTTTGGATACTAATGTTCCCACCGATGTGATGACTTATGCATCTCTGCCATTTCCCGATACTCTCCCGCTATTTCCCCATCGTTCTGATGTGTTGAAGTATATGCAAAATTACGCCAAGGATATCAGTCCAATAACCCAATTTAATACTGTGGTGGTTCTGGTGGAACGGGAAAATGACCAATGGAAGGTACTTTCTCGTCCTGTGAATCTAGAAACTGCCGGTGGTGAACGGTCAGATCAAGACACAGTTGAGTACTTTGACGCTGTGGTGGCTGCCGTGGGTAATTACGACGTTCCGTTTATTCCACATAGAAACGGCATGGAACAGTGGAACCAACAATTCCCTGGAACCATTAGTCATGTGAAGGCATTCAAGTCTCCTAAACAATTTGAAAATGTCAAGGGAGATATATTGGTGGTGGGAAACTCTGCCTCTGCTGGCGATATCTGCTATCAGCTAGCTGAGGGATTGAAAAGAACAATCTATAAATCCAGAAGATCAGAAAACCTTCAGCCAGCGAGTCCCAGCAACAAGATTGTGGACAAGCCTGATATAGACCGGTTCGATGCATCCCAGAAAAGAGTCTATTTTATTGACCAATCGTATATGGATAATGTGGAAAAAGTCATTTTTGCAACAGGTTATTTGAAGTCGTATCCCTTCTTTGAAAAACTCAACAAATCGAAAACACCCATTCTTACAGATGGTCACAAAGTACACGGAACTTATCAGCACGTACTACTTTACAATTTTCCAAACTTGGCTGTGGTAGGATTGCCAAAATTTGTACTTCCAACCCGAGTTTCTGAATCACAAGCGTGCTGGTTGGCAAAGGTGTGGTCGGGAAAAGTCCCTCTTCCATCATTTGAAGAGATGAAAAAGTGGGAGGACGATAGAATCAAGATCAAGGGTAATGGGAAAAACTTTCACGACATGAACTTTCCTGAAGATGTTGAATATTGTAACTATCTCAACCACTTGGTGGTATCCGCCAAATCAAATGTTGGACTCAAACCGTTGGTTTGGGATGAACGCCAGGTTAGAATTCGAGCATCGGTCAAGGGCATAAAGGAGGCGTACGTTCTTTATAGAGACAAGACTGGAAAATTGGCATCAACTTATAGTGAGTTGGAACAGGTGGCTCCTGGAGTTTTGGTGGATAACTCGGTGCTAGCTGAAAAGGGGTTTAGATACTAGAATATAGAGATCTGCCATTGGCAAAATTACATGTACCTAGGAGAAGAGGTTATTTTTAGTCTAGAGGTATTTTTGAATGTTCGTCAATTCGCTGGCTGCGAACGGTCGAAATGCGCCAAGTGAAAAATGTCAAAATTTGACACATCCTGTGTCTAAATTTAGCGAATTAAAAAAAAAACCCTTATCGCATTTAACTAATTACGCACGAATTTACCTTTTTGTAATGTCTGTCAATTTGAGACTTGATTTTAGGATCAATGGCGATACCAAATTCATCGTCTACAAGGATATGAACCCAAATTTTGACGCTTTGTATCAAAACGAGAACCAAAACTTTTCACTGTATTCACTGGAAGAATACAATGGCCTTCTACATGCGGCTGTCACGCAAGTGAATTTTACAGAGTTTCACACTGTGAAGAGGTTGCCTCGCTTTGAACGAATTGAGAAACATTCCCATTACTATCAAAAGAGAAAGTTGCAAGTCTCTTTGCCTGTATACTTGATAGCATTGACAATGCTCGTTTTCTTCTACGTCAAAAAGCGCCAAGCATACAGATATCTCTTCAAGTTTTCAAAGATGAGCAAGATCATTTATGCTTATTTCACAGTCAAATTATTATTTTCCTTGGCTTACTTTGGTTTCTTGATTGCTGTGTATGAATTTGGGTACGAGAAGATACGCCTGCCATGGCTGTTTTTCATTTATACGGTAATGAGAACTTGTCTATCAATTGCCCCTTATATGCTACTTGCCCTCTTCTCGTGTGGATATGGCATTACGTACTTTGATATTTGGAGCGAAAGGTACAACTTGAGAAAGGCAATTAGTATGACAGGTCTCTTTTCTTTTCCGGCGGTTACCTCGATTATAGAGGAGTATTGGTACATGACGGACGATGGTTATCATTTTCTGCCTTTCGTGGAGGGGCAGACTGTTCTAGTTCGAACTGCTGCATTTGCAGTACTTGTCCTTTCGCTGTACCACACCTTCAAAGATACCGAAGTGTACCCATTGGTTAAAAAATCAGGTGCAATTGTCGCACTAGTGTACTTTTTGAAATCATTAGTAGTGTTTCCAGCACCAGAAGATGTATACAGATTCTTCATGCACTTGTTTTTGCCAGACGAATACTATGGAATTCGTGTTCCTGATATTGTTGAGTTGGTTGCGCTTCCAGCTTTGATGTATATTTGGAGAGATATTGATGGTGATTATGAAGTGGAAGATGTTGAGAGTAAGACTTAGCCGCTCGTAAAAGTAGCTTTTTTGAGTTTTTGAGATTGGAGAGGTTCAATCATTGTTGGTCGTAAACATTGTTTAGAAACTGAGAAAATAAAGTGCACTTTAGTTTATGCTGCAGCTCTATGTAGGTAATATGCGTCATATGTGTCAAATTGCACTTCTATTATTAGCTAATCGTGGCTTATGGAAGGAGGCTATTTTCTCAATTCCTTGCATCGGAAGGCAAAAACGATGACACTCAACATTCACTTATCCAATGAAGAGGATGGCCTCTATCAAGGTATCGCTTTTGAGAGCAAAAGTAGCTTGTCAGATATATTGAACACTGGTGGAAAATTGAACCTTACTGATTACTCAAGTGATCAGCTCATAACCCTTTTGAAAACTAGTGTTGAAAAGGCTCAATTCAATCTGACAGACTCTTACTCGTTCAATTCAGCAGATCATAGGGGACCTTCTTTGCATTATGCCCATTATGACCAAAGACAGAAATTGGAGGTTTCTTTACCAGTATACTTGATTGCATTTATGGCACTTCTTTTCTTATATGTCAGGAGACGTCAGGCGTACAGATATCTCTTCAAATTTTCTAAGTTGAGCAAAATCATATATGCTTATTTTGCGGTAAAATTGGTGTTTTCCTTGGTCTACTTTGTGTTCTTGGTTGCGGTATTTGAATTCGAATACAAGAAAGTACGCCTGCCATGGGTGTTTTTCACTTACTCGGTGTTGAGGGCATTTTTATCAGTTACACCATACATGTTACTTGCCCTCTTCTCGTTTGGTTACGGCGTCAAGTTTTTCACTCTTGAAAAAGAAAAGTACGCATTGGCAAAATCAGCAATAATGACCATTCTTTTTTCCGTTTCCTCATTTGGTTCCATTTTCGAGGAATACGTGTACGTCACTACTGATAATCAGTCTCGTTTCCAGTATCTTGATAATGACAGTGTATTGGAAATTGTTTCGGTAGTTGCCCGAGTTGCTGCTGTCTTGCTTCTAGCCTTTTCTATGTACCGCACCTACAAGGATACAGAAGAGTATCCATTAGTAAAGAAGTCGGCAGCAATTGTCACTGCAGTATACTTTTTGAAACCAATGGTCCTGTTTCCAGCACCAGAAGATGTGTTTAGGTTCGTCATGCACTTGTTCTTGCCTGATGAGTATTATGGGTACAGCGTACCTGATATTGTTGAATTGTTTGCCCTTCCATTTTTGATGTACATCTGGAGAGATGTTGACGGTGACTATGTCGAGGTTAAGGATATTGAAATGGAGAGCTCGGAAAGTTGAAGAGGCTTGTGAGATGGATTTGATGAGTGACGAATCATTGCTCAATTCCAGCGTATGTGGATAATTTGATCTGGTGTATCTCATTGATGACGATCGGTAGAACTTACTCATAAAAATGGTGAAACACGCAAAAATATATAGTTATGTCTTGAATCTTTTCACTCTACCTCTCGTGAACTCTTTATGCCAGAGCTTGTTTGCTCGGAGGTGGACAAGCTACTTCTAGGTTTAAAAAAGAAAGCGATCGCTTCAAGACGGAACATGTTGGAGAATTATGCTGGTTCAACATTAAAACTTTACAATTTCATTAGGATAGCTCAGGTGGTCAAACTATATTCTTGTTATTGGAACTTCGAAGCTAATCAGTTATTTTCCTACTTGAGAATTTTCATTATAGTTCCGAAATGGAAAAAAGATACACCTTAGCTTGGCTAATGTTATCTAGCAAATTCAATTATGGCTAATGCTGCTTTGATTTACTCGGCCATCATCCTTGAAACCTTATCTATTGTTCAACTTTGGCGCATTATCTTGCATCAATGGCTCATAAATTTGCAACTCAAAGTGTGCATATAAATATCCGAGATACATAGAATGTAACCTTGCAAGTGCATTTTGAGTTAACAATAGCAAGCAGTCAAGGTGAGTTGAAAGTTGCCAGATTATCCATCTTCAAAAATTCCAACCATTTTTTTATTTTTCATTTTTTCAAAATTATGCATTTTCTCATTCTTTTCCAAATTCATAACGATATATTCGAACACTATGATATTAAAAGTCCTTGGACCTGATTCCAAAATATCCATCTTTTGCACTGGTCGGATCTAATAGACTAGTTTGACCAAGTCCACCATCTGTTCCACTATACGAAACAGTATTTCCCCACCAAGTAATACTCTTATCATGATACTGTACTGCAAAGAAAATGATTATACCCCCAAAAGCCACACCAGCATCAAGTGCCGAGGACAATACATAATTATACTTCTCCCACCATGCACTATACCTTCTTTTAATATAGTGATTAAAGGCGAAACAAACGTAAAGGCCAGGAATGAAATAACTCAAGTTATAAGGTGCATAATTGAAAAGACCACCAATGACTACGGCAGGCTGGAACCAGCGAGTCTGTTTGTAAAAGTAACGCCTTATCAAAAGGCACAAAATAGCAAGTAAGAAACCAATGAGGAAGCAATAGGGCAAAATTGGGTATAACTTGTTGAAAACTCTCTTGGGTCCAATGACACCCCAGAACACCGAAGACGAATAGTAAGAGACTTCAGAAGGACATGAGAAATTGTTCGACTGTTCGTCAGTACAAATCCCTTTGAGGTTGTAAATCTCCCAATTTATAACAAGCAAAGATGCAATAATCTGGAAAATTGTGCCGAAGAATTGACCACGGAAAACCGCTCTTGGAGGGACTTTTGCATAGTGTGCCATTTTCAAGTCGTACACATATTGCAGGGCTTGACCAGTAATATTGAAACCCAAAGCTTTCAAAAACATCAAAGCATCACCATTGCCAGGAACAGCATATCCAATTATCAACTCAACAAAAACTTCAAGTGTAAAGTAGTAGCCTGTAATGGCATAGATGATACACAAGGGAATCACGAACACGGCATTGATAGCAAGAACCAAGAAGATACCCCAAACTGGAGTGTTTGCTGGGTATACTTTGACACAGACTATGGCAAATACTAAGGCAATTAACATGATAACTAGAAAACACCAATCGGGTACTTCTTTGTAGCGAGCCATCATTCTTGAATGAGGGTCTTTGAACCGGGTATAATTGGACGATCTAAAGTCAGTTATCAGATCTTTTAACGACTTGAACGAATTCCAAATACCCTTCCATTCAGTGAAAAAGACATATGGAATCATAAAGGTATAAAGTGCAGAATTGGCACCATAAACTACCAAATTTGCAGCCGACAAGTATGGCGGTCCATACTGCTTATACTTTTTCTCATCGAGTTTGCCGTTTGTAAGGACTTCTTGAACCTCATATATCTGACCAGTGTTGGTATAAATATTGTTATCATTAATTGGAAGGTAGGCAGTCCACTTGTAATTACTGTAATAGAGCCCAATGATGACAAAGAACCCAATAAACATTCCAATCATCATATTCATATAAGTGTAAAATGGGAAGGCCAAAGGAAGCCAGTAACCAACAATATTCCAGTCAAAACTAGTAATTGGATTTAATCCAAGACCCAGAACCGATCCAGTGACAACTGCCAAATTAAAGTTATCTGGTTTGATCCAAGTCATCCAATTGAAATAAGACAATGCTTGAAAAAGATAATCTGGTACCCACATCCATAAGAATGAACAAGCAAATACAATAAAGAAAAAGTTGTACCTGGTTATCTTCCAACCATGAATACTCTCTTTCTTGTCCCTTTTTAACAATGCACGATTAAGGGCAAGTGTAGGTAAGATGGTAGGCCAAACGGCACGAATAGGATAAACCACAATCTTACGAAGTATACCTGCAAATCCAAAACCAAATAATTGGGTAGAAAGGGAAATCAAAATCTGGTAACCAACAGTTATCCAACTATTGCCATAAAACACCTTGAGTTTCTCAACATAAAAATTGTATCCCACGTACATACCGCCAATTGCAATATCAAACATAACTGTAGCAAACATCTGTTCCTTATAATTCCAAGGACCTGGGTTCAATGAATGTCTTGTTCCAAAAACAGTGAAGCCCCAATCGGGCAAAATATACTCGAGTGCGAGGCCACTTGGGTACATTAACATTTGACACACAGAAGCTGAAATGTAGATAGAAGGCTGTCTTCGAGAAAAGAGCTCATTGACACCAGTACCAACAATACACCAAAAGATTCCTAACATATAAGCACGAATAGTTTCACAAGGAATATTGGGATCATCAGTAGGTGAGGAAATAGCACGCACTTCTGGATATGGAGAATGGTACTCGTTCAATGCCGCATACATTTTGACATTGAAAACCCAATCGTTATAACTCATTTCCAAATCGTCATTGAAGCCACCAACGATTTTTTGAATAAGTTCAAGGTCTTCCAAAGGAAAATTTGGATCATCATTATGGTCCTCGATGCATCGCTTCAAGATTTCAATCGCTTTTGATAATTGCAATTGGTCGGTTTTTTCAAAAAGAAACTCAACGTCAGGAATTGATGCATTTTCTGTCAAAACATCGGCATGCCCTAACTTTTCATAAAGCTGTTGCTTATAGTGATCATCAAGCGCGAAATCATCTTTTGAGTGTTCTTGAGTGAACTCTCGTTTTTCCTCATTTTTTTCGTCACCCATTGTAAAAACAATACGAAAACAGAGCAGAAAAACTTTTTATATTGCAAGCGTCAATGTGCCTACGGCTCGTCGCCTGCATGCACAAAACCCGAGATCGGATAGATACGAGCCGCGCCGGGCCGCCTTAGTTTTGTAGTTTGGAAAATTGACCTTTTGAAAGGCTTTAGGATGGTTGATGAAGCTTGAAGCATCAAGATGATTTGACCGAGCAGCAGTATTCTCATGAACTCTTGGCATGTCATGGTGAATGAGTTCTTGGCATAGATCGGTAAGATTATGCGCCGCGCAAGCGCCGCAGATGATGCGGCCCGATAACATTGTGAGCGATGAGGAGGCTCGGCTATGTTACACAACCCTAGAAGTCAAGATCTTTTGGTCACACCAAAGGTATGGTTGCAGCAATATATGACTAGTCCAAGTTTGGGAATAGAAAAGAAAATGCCATCAAACAAAAGAGTGGGGTCAAAGGCAGTTGCAAAACCAGAAATATTTTGTGAGAGAAAGGTAACGCAAAAGTATCCAGTCAGCCTATTTGAATCAACGTCTTGACTGGAAAGTCCACTAACTGATCAAGAACAAAAGCGACTTCTCAGGAAATGATCATCATGACAGTAATGCTGGAAGGATTAACCTAGAGAAAGCGAATCACCAATTCATGGTATAGTCATCAAGATACTAAAAGTAGGTGACTCATGCTTGCTAAAAAAGCTATGAATTGCAATCGGCCCCACTAGGAGATCGGTAGTTCCTTTGCTGGAAACCTCCTAATCACCTTTGAAGAATCACTATTCATTTGCTGCAATTGGACTAAAGCGCTCTGAACAAAGTAGCTTCTCAAAGTGAGAGCTCTACATTGAATGAATGTGAGTACTTTTCACATAAGAGGAACTGAATACTTTTCTCTTTAGTTACAAGCTTCAAAGTGGGCATTGCTGAGTCTGGTATGGCATTTGCAGCTACACTTTTGATCAACCTCTGCTCATTCTTAGCTTAAATGACAATATCTGGCACGATCACCATTCCAAACAACATCTATTTTAGCACAATCATGATGTGTCGAATTAGCAATATACGGCAAGTCGTCTGAGTTTGGCATGAGATCCGATTTTTATGCGAAGTGCTTTTTCGATGTGGAGTGCATCGGACTCAAGCCGGGCGAACGGCGCGAATAGTTGTGATAAGAGTTCGATAAAACTAAAGAATTATTGATAACATACTCATGCTGAATACCGTAAGAAACGCCCAGTGTCATTGTGGTGCCGTGAGCTTCGAGGTGACTCTCTATGATGACCTCAACTCTGCTCTTCGCTGCAATTGCTCTTATTGTCGAATGAGAGGTGCGGTGACTGTCATGGCAAATTCCGGTAGTATCAAGTTTATCAAGGGAAAAGAAGATCTCACAGTGTATCGGTTTCATACCAAGTCTGTAGAACACTATTTTTGCTCACATTGTGGAATATATACCCACCATCAAAGACGATCTAATCCTGGAAAATTTGGTGTGAATGCAGCTTGCTTGGAGGGAGTTAGTCCTTTTGATTTTGCAGATATTCCTGTAACAGATGGTATGAATCACCCAAAGGATAACAATGGAAAATCAAGAATTGCGGGCCATCTTCGTTATATTCCTGAAGATAAAAATTAAGATATGAATGTACTAATTGAGAACGATGAATCATGAAAATGAAAATGTGAGTTATGTGATCGCTGTAATGTCGACAGATCTTTGAACTTGGCAATCTAACTCATCAGCTCCTTCAAATCTTCGGCTGAAATATAGCCCAGCTATTTGAACTATCCATTTGTGCAGCACGACCTCTTCAGCTGTACCAGCTCAAAGGCACGAATTTACACCTTCAAGATTTCATCCAAGCCTAGAGATTGTAGAAGTGTCTTTGTCCAAGTCGATAGTACAAGGAATTTTCTTAGCTCTTAGCTTGCAGCTAAATGATTGTAATTTTCATTAACCTTGATAGTAGTGCTTTAACAAATGGGTTCATTTTGTATGGATGAAAATGTCTTGGAAGAATTATGAAATGAAAGTCTTACTCTCTATACAATATTTTCAACGAAACGTTGAACTGTTATAGTGGAGAATCTGAAGAGGCTTACCGCTACTGTGAGAGGTGAGGTCTGTCTCAACATTTCACCCTCTCAACTTCAAGTTCCTCTGTCATTGCTTGACAATGGACCGTGAAGTATTGTTGTTTAAAGAGGAAGATGATTCACAATACTTAGTACTGAAAGCTGGAAGAAAAAAATGCCCGACTCATCAACAGGACCTTATAATTCATGCACGCAGGACCTCAAAAGAGCAATTGAACATCCAAAATTACACTTGTCTATCTGCTTACAACGTTGCAAGCTCCACTGACTGTACTTGGTCACTGGTGAATTATAAAGGCAGAATTTTACTGTTCTGAAATTCGAGACTGTGAAAGATCTGGTGAGCCGCACTTGCTGCAATGCCAGATTTTTCTGCAAAGACTCATTTTGCTGCAGAGCCAGTCAATCAAAGAAAATCACAAGACAGTCTTAACCCACTTCCAGAATAATCTCTGTTATAGCTTGGCACCACATCAGCAAAAAAGTCATTTTCAGATAGTCTCGTTCTTATCTATTAGTCACTTTCCCAAAAGGGATCTAAATAGTCACCTGATGGCATCACCAGTCATATAAACTCTTTTCGCTCTCAATTGAATTTATGGATGATTCTTCTATCAGTTCGACCTCGAGCACAGACCTCGAGGCTTACCCCTTAACAGAGAATAAGGAATCAAATAATGAACTTGAACTTTCAAGAACAATTAGTAGAAAAATTACCAATTCTGAAATTTTGATAAAAGAAGCAAAGAGTTCAGATAAACCCTTACCCCCAATAACTTCCGATCTAGTTATTTTTGAAGCGGATGATCCATTGTGTCCATTGAATTGGCCATTAAAGAAAAAGTTGGTGAATACAATTTCAATTTTGTGGGCACCTTTCAATATCCAAATTGGTTCAGCTATTATTGCACCTAGCACCAAAGAAATAGCCAAGGTTTTCCATGTCTGTCACACAGTTGCAACTCTATCCACTTCTCTTTTCATTTTTGGATTTGCAGCTGGTCCGGTGATTTGGGGTCCACTATCAGAACTTTATGGTCGAAGACCAATCTTGCTTCTTTCAGCATTTGGTTATTTATGCTTTGCATTTGGAGCTGCTACAGCAAAAGATATTCAAACCCTTATGATTTGTCGGTTTTTTTGTGGGTTTATTGGTGGTGCTCCAGCAGTGGTAACTCCATCGAGTTTATCTGATATGTTTCCAAAATCACAAAGAGGAATTGCCATGAGTGGATTTGGCTTGATTATATTTAGTGGACCAATGATTGCTCCTATCATTGGAGGCTATACAACCAGCAATTTGGGTTATAGATGGAACCTTTACTTTGCTGGATTTTTCGGTTGTGTTTCATTTATGCTCTTATTATGGTTCAAAGAATCACATCATCCGACTTTATTGACTCAGAGAGCTGAAGAATTACGCAGAAGAACAGGGAACAGAGCTATCTATGCCGCTCATGAAGAAGTATCATTGAGTGTAAAGGAGATATTCCAGTATAATATTGCTCGGCCGCTCAAAATGTTGGTCTCAGAACCAATTCTTGCATTGGTAAGTTTATACAATGCATTCATGTATGGGATACTTTATTTACTTTTGACAGCAATTCCGTTAGCTTTTGGATACCTTGGTGAAACGGAGAATCTCCCATATCTTGCATTGTTCATTGGAATTATTTTTGGTACACTAATTATAATTTTTTTCGACAACAAGAAAAAAAATGGACCAGAAGATCGGCTTCCTCCAATGCTTGTGGGTTCAATTCTCTTTCCAATTGGCATGTTTTGGTTTGGATGGACAACTTCTGTTCATTGGATCGTTCCTACCCTTGGTCTAGTATTTGTTGGTGCTGGATTGATCACGGTATTTCTTCCTTGCCTTACATACATTGTCGATGTATATTTGCATATTTCGGCATCGGCATTAGCACTGAATGCATTTTTACGAGCTGGATTTGGCGGGGCATTTCCTCTCTTTGCTCACCAGATGTTTGCAGCCATGCTGATAAAATGGGGGACTACTCTAATTGGGTGTTTCTCTCTCGTCTTGGTTCCAGTTCCATTCATCTTTTACAGATATGGGTCCATTATACGGTCCAAATCCAAAATGGCCAATTAACGATTGCAAAGAATTTGTGATAATTGAGCGAATATCAAATGTTTGCCAAGGCATTTTTCAAGTAGTCTCACGAGGTGTTCAATACAGGCTACAAATAATAAATTAGAGTTTATAGAAATTTATGAGGACTATTAGGAAATTATGAAATCTGCAGCCAATGACAAATTCACACAATTCACCATCATAAAGAAGAAAAATATATGGAGAGAAGAGAATATATTAAGCAGTCATTGCCGAACTTCTTATGAGAAACACTACCAACGTATTCTCTTGAGTCTTAATTTTACCCCAAGTTTAATGTCTTAATTTCTGGTGCTCTAATGCATTCAGTTGATTGCAACCACTCGGGAATTGGCGAAAGTAGCTTTTGAACTCTACTTTCTTAACCTATATCACACTTGATAAACATCGAATTTCAATAAAACTAAATTGTATATAGCACCTGGCTACTGAATTAAAACAATGACAAAAAAAGTTTGTTGCTACATCAGAAGATGAGCGATTCGCCGTTTGCTATCCGTCTTTTCTCTTCAATCAAGAATTCTTCAGCTTGGACTCTCGCTTTGTCTTGATTCAAGAAAAATGAAGATGCCAATGACACACAGCATATTCCCACAAGGAATGAAAAGCCACTATTATTGTTTCCTGTGTCATCAATGATGGCGGAAGAAACAAAAGGACCAATAAAGCTGGAGGTTTTGTTAATGGTGCTGAAAATAGCAAAAAACACGAATTCCTTTCCTCTTGGACAAACTTCACTCATCATTGTTGATGAGTATGCATAATAAGGAGCAATGAATATCCCAGAATAAGCGTTATAGAACCATTCTTCCCAAATATTGTGGAAACCAATTCTGTTTGTCCACATTCCAATCAATCCATAAATTGGGAACAAGGTGATGAAAACAGAGCACACAATGTACATGTTTCTTGTAGAAATTTTGAACGTTTTCTGGATCCACCAAAACATTACCACCCCTATCACACTGGTAACACCGTTAACAATGTTCAAGTACATGGAAGTGACCATATTATAAGAAATGACTTCGTTTTGAATAGTCGATTGAAGACTTATAGCAGTGTTCAAACCGTCACCTAATAACCAGTAGGAGAACAAATATAGAGCAGTTTGCCTCAACTTCAGGAAGCTCTTAAACGCATATCCCAATTGTTTCAAAGGCAAGCTCAAGTAGCTCACACCTTCGGGTAATTTTTCATTAATTCTTTTCTTTTCAGTGAAAAACCAGGGAGTACCAAATACAATCCACCAAATAGTTGCAAACATAATACACACAGACATTGCCCAATTATTATTTGCTTGATTGGCAGTAGAATCCATTGACTTTAATATTCCAATTGAAATGGCACATACGAGTGTGAAACCAAACATTGAAAAAGCAAAACTGTAATTGGTGATTTTGTTACGATAGTATGAGTCCACCTTGTGATATTCAGATTCCAGGATTTCACCGTTGAGCATTTTTTCTTCGGCGGCTCTTGTCTTGGGCAAATTTCTTGCCAAACGTGGAAACATTGCAGTCCAAAATGATTGACAACCTTGATACCCCAATGACGATAACACACTCAATGCAAACGCTGCTTCATGTTTCCTTCCGTCATGCACACCTAAGAAACCAAATTGAACTCCCCAACTCATAATTGAAAGGCCAATGAGTACCCATGAACCATATTGACCATAATCAGACAAACCTCCAAGAAACAAGAAAACTACCGACTGTAACGCAAACCCAATTCCCAGATTAATCAATACCACTGAATTGACTGTCTTGACCGTACCGGCAAAAGATACCACACAAAGCCCATTTGGATCATCCGAGCATGAAACGTTTCGCTTCCCTTTGATCCAACCAGATTGACTCAATAAATTCTGATACTGAGTTGGAGTAAAAGTATAAGGACCAGTAGCATTATTTCCAAAGTAGTAGAGTGCGTACATCAAAACTTCCCATTTTGTAGTCGTTGGTTGATCTACAATTTGGGCACGCTTAATTTCTTCTCCATCTTTATTTTGCACAACCAAAGCTTGTGCTTGAGATTTCACTTCTTCTATGTCAACCTGTACCGACTGATTCTTTTTTTCTGTCTCAATGCTCATTAGAGCATTCACTGGAGGAGATTCATTTTATACTAATTCATCAATTTCGCACCCGCGACTCGACCTTCCATATCAACCTCCGCTCTTATCAGTGGACTGCATATACCCCGCTATTTCGCGCAATCGGTTGCAAATTCAGTGAGCCAGAAGGTGGAGGAGAGTAACACTGTAGCGGATGTGACTATTCTGGCAATTAACGCCTAAAAGTGAAATGCTAGTGGCATCGACTTTCATCACTTGATAGCCGCCAAGTAAAATTGGTCGAAAAAGGCATTTGGTATCTAATGACGCCAAGGTATGAGGGATCATGCATGAGAACAGGAAATAAATGCTGAGGTATAATTAGCATTCATTATAAGGTACTGGCGTACTGACATCTTTCTCACCCAGGGTTACTTTGTGTCAACTACGATACCAATATCGTGTCGCTTGGCTTGCGCGGCACACATCTGAGACGAATAGTGTTGCGGTATAAGTAGTAAAAGAGAACGTGGAGTAAACTTCAGCAATCAATCGAAGGGACTTGCCTTCTTAATCTCGTACTAATCTTTCCAATCGCGAAAATTATAGTTTTTGCAATTTGCAGCCAAAGGTCCTGTATCTAACAACATAAAGCGTATATGCTGCTTTAAGTGAAGATTTTGGTAGAAGGATGCTTTGAGTTAATAGCATTAACTTCTTACACCCAATATTCAGAGATTGGCGTAGTTTGAAAGCGTGCAAATCTATAATACGTCTATATATTTGACTCAGGTAACCAAAGGAATAGCATCTAGAGACTTACACTTTGGAGGTAGTGACCTTCACCTCCTGTCACATAAACTGACAACTTGCTCAATCACCGGCAATAGTTGACTTAAGTGCAGTTAACTCTTTTGAGGATTGAGTGACTTAACTGATCAGGTATGTGTCAAAAAGGGTTATTGAAATCAAGTAGCTTATTTTCACTCGAAATTTGGACCCAAGCAAAGATCAGCATTCAGTAAGAACTTCTGGGTTTGAATTATACCGGTTTGTCGTGCTATTTAGTTCCAGCTGGTAGGGTGCAACGTGAAGTGGTGTTGGGAAGTATATGCCTCATGCGGTGTGGCGTACCTTGATGCACCATAACACATTATCTGAACACCTTTTTTTTCCACATGGACCCCTGAAAGTTTGATAATGAGCCTCAATTCTTTACCTTATGAAATAATCTCAAGTTGCTTTTCTTACTTGGACACAAAGCTGCTCACCAACATAATACTACTGGAGATTTTTTCTGATCATATAGTTTAAGCTGTAGCTGACCATCTTAACCATTTATGGTATTCAGAGCGTATTCAATTCTATACAATTGAAGCTATATTTGAAGGTAATGAGGCTTACTATGAAACGGATTTCTACCGATTTCTACGAATACACAAGATTTTCGAAGAAAAGTCAGTCAATTGCCCTCTCTGGTTCCATTATGTATGGAGCAACATTTCTCAAATGCACAAATGCCTCGATGAAATCAACCTAGTTTACAACGGCCAAAAATTGGGCATCCATGTGGACCTCAATGACAAGGCATTTCAATACTATCCTATTTTTTTAGACCATGAGATATATCTCAAAATCACTTGCCTTTCATTGAGTACTACTAGTTGTATCGATTTGAATAATTTTCCAAAGTTGGAGACTTTTTATGGCCTTAAATGCAAAATACTCACTCCAGCTTGAAGAGCCTTAATCTTGTGGGAGGGACTCTCAGCGCATTACCGAATCATTTGATAAAGTTAGTTGCATAAGAGAGCTGGATATGGATGAACGAGGACCAACCAAAACTACCTGTTCTCACAGTGTTGGATTTAAAAAACATGGTCGGACCTTCTGATAACCCCTCCCTAGTCAGAGAACTCTGGAACAAAGAGTTAGAGCATTTTTCGTATATCAATCAACGTGAAATAAAGAATGATGAATATCGTGTGATAATAGAGGAGGATGAAATTTTATCAATGCTCGGCCCCAAAGTGACAAGTTTCGGATTCTCTGGTTCAATTTCGACTAGGATCCCCAGGCTGCTACGCTCATTATACTCCTTGAATGGTGGAAGCCTCGAAAATTTGCCTGCTTTTACACAGATGACTTCTCTTACATTGAAGTTGCCATCAGACATCAACAATTGTGAATTACCGCCCAACTTGCTCCGCATTACATTGAATTTCCCAAGAGATGAGATTGACAGCTTAAAATTTCCGCCCACCTTGGTCAAACTTTCTATTAGGTCTGCTAAGTTCAAAGACTTGGCCATAATCAATTTTCCGTCTGAAATTGTCGACCTTGAGTTAGAGATATGTAATATTACTCTGACCACCGGCTGGTTAAAACCAGCTCAATTGAAGACACTTTCACTTGCAGGAAATAAGCTTTTCAAAGCGCTTCTTCCTTGCTGTGAATTTTTGAACTTGAGAGGCAATAAATTAACGGAAGTCGAAATTGAAGCTCCCTTCCTTGAGCATATTGATTTGACTACAAATAAGTTGACTTCGACTCCCAAACTTTCAATATGTCTTCAAGTCCCTAGTTTCGGAAGATTTGGACTATATCTTCCCAAGATGTCTGAATTGCCTCCTAATTTAAAACTTGTAGAACTCTCGGGAGCTGGAACTGGAGCTTTTCAAAACTACACATTCCCATCATCAATTGAAGAACTTCACTTTACGGGCTTGGACTTGTCAGGTATGAGTGGAGTCAAATTTGCCAAAGGGTCAAGATTGAAAGAATTGATATTGAGCAAATCTATACTAAGTTCATTGGACGAAGATTATTTAACTACTATCCACGACAGAATGATTGAGCTCCCCCCAGGTTTGAAGGCACTAAAGTTGCGTGGAATGGACTTGCAAAACATAGATGGTTTCACCATTCCACAATCAGTTACATTTCTAGACTTGGGAGAAAACGATTTAAAATCATTTGAAGTCAAGTCTCATATTGAGACACTCTATCTTGATTATAATCCAATAGAAGACAACTTTGTGGTACATGAGGATCTGGAGCTAAGAGTTCTTGATCTTGAAGGTGTTGGACTTACATCCTTTTCGTTTGAAATGGTTCGAGCTGAAAAACTCGCACAACTACGTCTAGGTGCTGAGCTTGAAATGATTGGAATCTTTTGAGTATGCCAGCCAATTTTCAGATTCTAGAACATCAAGATGGTGGAAATTGTACATTGAAAGAACCCGATACGGGCCAATCATACATCTACGGACCTCTTATGGCTAGGATTAGCCTTCGATATTAGGGCTGCCATGGCTGTATAGTTAAGTGTGATGAGGAAGATAATGCGAATTTTATAGATTTTTCAAAATTGTAACATTATGCAAACATGAAAATTTATTGTAAGAATGAACCATATGATGAACCTCAATGCTCAATGGCTCTGTTTCTTCCCCACTTCTCTTTTCACATTGGTAAATGTGGAATTTGCAGCCACGATCCTGCACAGATCACAATTCTCCCTAAGCGAACTTGAACTTCAACTCTTACACTATTCATGAGACTAAATGACTTACCTCGTGAAATACTCTCGCGTTGCTTTTCCTACTTGAGCACAGATCTCCTCACCGACATAGTATTATTGGAGAACATTCCTGATATCATTCTTGAAGCTGCAGCTGATAACCTCAATAGTTTATGGTATTTCAAGCGCTTTCGAAGATACGAAATTAATAAAATTGAAGGTATTGAAGCCCACTATGAAACTGATTTCGACCGGTTTGTACGCATACACAAAAACCTTGAAGAAAAGTCACTCAAATGTCCTCTTTGGTTCCATTATATCTGGGAAAATATCTCTCAAATGCACCAAAGTCTTGACGAAATCAAGTCAATTTACAATGGCCAAGAATTGGGCATCCATGGCGACTTCATAGGATCTGCGTTTCAAAACTATCCTTTCTTTTCAGACCATGATATCAATCTCAACGTCACTTGCCTTTCATTAAAAAATTCTTATGGTCATCTGAGCCAAAATATCGATTTGAATAATTTTCCGAAATTGGAGACTTTTTATGGCGATGAGGTAGTTATAACAGTTGACCACAACCACCCCAGATTGAGGAACTTGTATCTTAAAGAGGTGACTTTCAGCACATTACCAGTTAATTTGAAAAAGTTGGTAACAAGATGGTGCAGTATAGAGATGAATGAAAATCATCCAAAGCTAGAAGCTCTCACAGTGTTGGCTCTAGAAAACGCACTAGAACCTTCCGACTGTTCCTTGCTACTACGACTACTCAGGAAAGATTTGGAACATTTTTCGTATACCCCTCGATACGGAAGAGACGACTATGAAAATCGCGGGGTAATAGAGGGAGAAATCTACTCCAAGCTCGGCAAGGAATTGACAAGTCTTGGATTTTCTGGTTCAATGTCGTCTACAATTCCCAGGCTGCTACGCTCATTATATTCCTACCATGGTGGAAGCTTCGAAAATTTGCCTGCTTTTACACAGATGACATCACTTACGTTAAAGCTGCCAACAGATAACATCAACAGTTTTGAATTACCGCCCAACTTGCTCAGCCTTACATTGGTGCTGCCAGGTGTGATCGACAGTTTAAAATTTCCGCCCAACTTGGTCAAACTTTCGATTACGGATCGTCTGTTCAAAAATATAGCCAAAGTTAAATTTCCTCCCAACTTAGTTGACCTCAAACTAGAGAATTGTAACATTACACTGACAGTCAGATGGCTAAAACCTGCCCGATTGAAGAGACTTTCACTTGCAAGAAATAACCTTTCATCTTTCGAAGCCGTCTC